AAAAAAAAAAAAAAATTCTTATGCCTAATTACTGTTCTGAAAATTAAAATCAGGGTTACAGTGAAACTTAGAACATGCCTCTGGATTGTAGATTGTCTATATTCATCAATGTCAGTGGAATCTCTATGTTGAAGAATGGAATGTAAAGGAAACCACAACTGCAATAAGATAAACAGGACCAAGTTAGTAATCAGGAAAAAGAGTTACAAATGATTAACAGCAACATTCAGAACAAAAAGAAAGCAGCCAGCTTACTTCCTGAAAATTCTTTACTTTCCAAATATTATTTCATACATGGGACCTCACATTCCAGTTATATTTTCGTGGTCCACTAAAATGTCCCAAAGACCTGGGTATTTGGAAGGGATCCCCAAAAAAGAACTAAAAGGATTGGATTATACAGCCATAAATAGTTAGGGTCGCGGTGACACTGTTGTATTGCATTAAGATAAATTCTGAAATGAATTACACTCATAATTGATTAAATATTGAAGCCACACGAAAAAGTTGGCTAGTTATTCCTGAAACTACATTAAAGGTTTATCATGGCNATTTGGAAGGGATCCCCAAAAAAGAACTAAAAGGATTGGATTATACAGCCATAAACAGTTAGGGTCGCGGTGACACTGTTGTATTGCATTAAGATAAATTCTGAAATGAATTACACTCATAATTGATTAAATATTGAAACNGACACTGTTGTATTGCATTAAGATAAATTCTGAAATGAATTACACTCATAATTGATTAAATATTGAAACCACACGAAAAAGTTGGCTAGTTATTCCTGAAACTACATTAAAGGTTTATCATGGCAAACTGATTGAAAGTTTTTAGACTCATAACAGATGTCTCTGTCTCTAACTTCCTTCGAAAGTCAACACTTTTTGCTATAGGTAGACTACTGAAAAAGGCACCCTAAATTTTTCAAGTAGGATTTGATATCAAGACATGCTTCTAGAAATAGCATTCAGATCCAGACACTTGATATCTGAGTCCTCTTACATTGAATTCGTTTCTGCTAGCGTTCAACCATTCATGCGCAATGAAAATCCCTCACCATCAAATATGCATAACATTTCCCAAAATCATTGGAACTACAGAAAGATGCCAGAACAAAACTGAAAACCCAAGACACAATGTGGGTAGATAGTGGGTTCCATTGGAAAACAAGGCCAAGAGATGGAGAAATTATTATCCTCCTTGTCTCTCAGCAACTNCCAGAACAAAACTGAAAACCCAAGACACAATGTGGGTAGATAGTGGGTTCCATTGGAAAACAAGGCCAAGAGATGGAGAAATTATTATCCTCCTTGTCTCTCAGCAACTAATATATTTCTCTAGTTGGCTTCGTTTCCTCAATTTTGAGAATAAGGTTTTTCACTTAGTTTTTGTCACATAGCCCAAGTTCTGCATCCCTTTCCATCTTTATCTAGCAACTGCATTTTTTTGGTTGAGTACCAGCAACTGTATTTCTTTTGTCAGGGTGCATAGCAACCGTACTTTCATGCGTACAAAAAAGTTACCTTCCCAGCATTAGTCTCAAACTGAGATTGAACTTCATCAAGCAAGGCAGGCCAGGACTCGAACTCCAACTTTTGCCACGAGGACACCAAGACAAAAATAGGTTCTAGTTGACCTACGCGTTCGAAAATCATAGGGAGCAAAAAAAGACGACCATCAGTATTGCAGTAAAAAACAAGCCTATGCTTGCCAAATGTAAATTGCTTACCAGAGAGAGGGAATTTTGCAACAGTTTCCTGCAATATCTGGACCCTGTTAAGTAGAAACTGCAAACCCGAAAGAGCCTTCAAAAGAGAAGAAGAAACATATTCAAGAAGCAGTACAACATGTGCTTCTGTGCCTTCAAGCAGTTACTTTAATGCATCAAACGCCAGTGTTCCTTAAAAGCCCTATAAACAGGTTTTCCCAGAAAGCTAGAACAGTATACTGTTCCTAGTTCACAGTTTTATTCCAAAGAAAGTGCAACCTGACCAACATTACATTAAAGACAATATTTGGTGCTTAAAAGCAAGCAAGCGAGAGAGAGAATTTTGGATAATTCTGTTCATTCATTAGACACGTAACTTTGCCAGCGTGAATCACAAATAAATTCTTACTCTACAAGATATCTCAAATTTTCATTTTTTTTNAAAATTAGCATGTTCGGGTTCAACCTTAATGGGTTTGGGTGATAAACAGGTGGACCAGCCAGCCCGGATTGACACCCCTAGTTTATCTGCCAGAAATGCATGAGCTTACACAGATCGAAAAGGAAGAGAGAATGGTAAGCATATGAAAGTGAACACCCCTCTTACTCCCTTGCTTTCATAAGAAAAAAATTGTCAATGTGTCGAATTACAACAGTATCCTATTATACACAAGCAAATAAGATTTGGTAATGTGATTTTGAGAAATAATGTTGGAGCATTAAGAGCAGCGATAAAAATGATAAAAGGTGAAGAACAAAATGCTTTTTAATAGATATATCTATCTAATATTATAACTAAAAAGTTAAATTCTCAACTTATAAAACCACAACAACAGTCTTTGATGGTACAAAATTCATCTCAAAAGTGTTTTTCCCATTCAAAGACATCATCTTTTTCGCATTGCCCCCAATATCCGACAACTCAACTAACACATTCTCCAATGCCAAACAACTCTCTAATCCACAACTATCCCTCTCCTTTCTCCCCTAACCTCTCTTATTTTTGTTTCTATTCACTTTCATTTTAAATTGCATAATTAAACATAAATAAATTGCATCTAAAATATAAACAATGTAGATTAATGCTCAATTTTTGGTATTGCAAAGTGACTTCAGTCACGGGGTTCGGGGTTATTGCTAGTATTATACTAGTAATATATATATATATATATTAAATTGCTAGTATTATACTACACCAGTCTACAACACAGAATTAGCTTAGAATGTGTCACACTGATATTTAATACTTTGTTTAGGTTTGGGAAAATTTCATCTACACCCCTTTTAAATAGGTCTATCTTCAACGACATCTCTTACCTTTTCTGAAATTTTATTGACCACTCCAGTTAGTGTTGGTCGGCTAACAGACGTGACAGAAACACACATTTTACCATTTTACCCATGAATTTTATAAAGANCACTGATATTTAATACTTTGTTTAGGTTTGGGAAAATTTCATCTACACCCCCTTTAAATAGGTCTATCTTCAACGACATCTCTTACCTTTTCTGAAATTTTATTGACCACTCCTGTTAGTGTTGGTCGGCTAACAGACGTGACAGAAACACACATTTTACCATTTTACCCATGAATTTTATAAAGATTTACATATTCACCAATTATTTTTATTAAACTATATATAAATACATATTCTTATTTCCTGTAAGTATGGGCATGTTTGTTTGCCGGATATATGAGGTATTAGGAAGTGGGATAGAGTAAATAGTACCTGGGGCCCACTTATACCTTGTTTGGTTGGCATTTTATGTGCAATACTATTTTTCGGGTTATAATACCGACCCGATTTGTACAGTAACCTTTATCCCTTGTACATGACTTTAATGAATACCACCTATAAGGTGGTATTATTTGTTAGCATAAATCCACCAATGGTACAAGGAAAATGACACAAATACCCTCCTCTGTAAAGTTCACATATAAAAAATTTATTTTGAATTTTTTTCCTTATATTATGTTTAAGCCTACGATGTCACCACTTTTTTTTTAAAAAAAATTATTTTGATTTTTTTCCTTGTATTATGTTTAAGCGTACAGTGTTTTAAATTTTTTTTTTTTAAAAATTATTTTAAATTTTTTCCTTGTATTATGTTTCAAAGCACAGTGTCACCGATTTTTTTTTACAATGTCACTGATTCATAGCACTAAATTTTTTATTTATTATGTGGATTTTTTACATTATTCTTCACCGATTCATGCTAGGATCAGTGGCTTGGGTTCGTTGCCATGTTTTTACAGCTAAGTGATTGGGTTGTTGAGGCATGAGAAAGAGAGAGAGAGAGAGAGAGAGAGAGAGAGAGAGGGGGTGAACAAGAGTTTCATGAAAAATAAGAAGGGTAAACTTAGCATTTAATAAAAATTTTGGTACGACATCAGCACTTTACTAATGGTCAATAACGGGTGGTTACGGTAGGGGGTCTAAGTGAAGAGGACATATAAACTAAAAGGAAGTGCAGTAAAATTTCAGAACAGACAGAGGGTGTCGTTGAAGATAGACCTATTTGGAAGGGGGTGTAAATGAAATTTTTCCTTTAGGTTTGTATAGAATCTAAATCCCCAAAAAGTGCTTTAAAATTTTTCGTAATGGATCCTCAAATATATTTCAAGATGAAAAAACATATAACATCACTCACAGTGTATTTTTGTATTATTTTTCTAAATTTCTTTCTGGTTCTTTTCGAGTTTTCCATGGTTAAATAGCTCTCACTATGCTCCCACCGACATAGCTTCAAAAATTCTTTTAACTCCATCTCAATTCTTCTTCGGTTACCTTCTATATGCTCCAAAATCCTGAAAAAAGGTAAAATAAATCACCTTAGGACCTCAACTCTGAGCGGAGGTAAAAATTATAACTCAAGAATAGGTCATAGAAAATTCACCTAGGCAACAATTGCACATAGAAACCAAATATATTGTACAAAATCTTCACATTTTCCACTAGGAAAGGACTGCATAGAATTGTAACAATTAGCGTCTTTGAATAAATATATAAAAAGAGATATGGAAAAGGACTTTCAAAAAACTTGGATGAAGATGTCCAACAACATGGTGCCATCATCGTACCATGACTAAGATGTCAATGCTTCATTTTTTAAACTAAAGTAGATAAGCACCATTTCTTTTGATTCCTTCTTAACTTAACTGTTTTCCTAAACCTGACGGGAGAGCAAACATAACACACTGTAATTCAGCAAGGCATACCTTGAATATGATCCCCGACATATACCATTAATGATTTGTCCGTGGAAAGCAAAAAGAAGTTGAAGACGCTTTCTGAATTCACCAATGCTGGATGTTTGGATGAACTCCTCCAAGCTACATGTTCACTTAGTGTTGGACACAATGGAAAAAACTCTGAATTTAAAAAAAAAAAAAAAATTCTTATGCCTAATTACTGTTCTGAAAATTAAAATCAGGGTTACAGTGAAACTTAGAACATGCCTCTGGATTGTAGATTGTCTATATTCATCAATGTCAGTGGAATCTCTATGTTGAAGAATGGAATGTAAAGGAAACCACAACTGCAATAAGATAAACAGGACCAAGTTAGTAATCAGGAAAAAGAGTTACAAATGATTAACAGCAACATTCAGAACAAAAAGAAAGCAGCCAGCTTACTTCCTGAAAATTCTTTACTTTCCAAATATTATTTCATACATGGGACCTCACATTCCAGTTATATTTTCGTGGTCCACTAAAATGTCCCAAAGACCTGGGTATTTGGAAGGGATCCCCAAAAAAGAACTAAAAGGATTGGATTATACAGCCATAAATAGTTAGGGTCGCGGTGACACTGTTGTATTGCATTAAGATAAATTCTGAAATGAATTACACTCATAATTGATTAAATATTGAAGCCACACGAAAAAGTTGGCTAGTTATTCCTGAAACTACATTAAAGGTTTATCATGGCAAACTGATTGAAAGTTTTTAGACTCATAACAGATGTCTCTGTCTCCAACTTCCTTCGAAAGTCAACACTTTTTGCTATAGGTAGACTACTGAAAAAGGCACCCTAAATTTTTCAAGTAGGATTTGATATCAAGACATGCTTCTAGAAATAGCATTCAGATCCAGACACTTGATATCTGAGTCCTCTTACATTGAATTCGTTTCTGCTAGCGTTCAACCATTCATGCGCAATGAAAATCCCTCACCGTCAAATATGCATAACATTTCCCAAAATCATTGGAACTACAGAAAGATACCAGAACAAAACTGAAAACCCAAGACACAATGTGGGTAGATAGTGGGTTCCATTGGAAAACAAGGCCAAGAGATGGAGAAATTATTATCCTCCTTGTCTCTCAGCAACTAATATATTTCTCTAGTTGGCTTCGTTTCCTCAATTTTGAGAATAAGGTTTTTCACTTAGTTTTTGTCACATAGCCCAAGTTCTGCATCCCTTTCCATCTTTATCTAGCAACTGCATTTTTTTGGTTGAGTACCAGCAACTGTATTTCTTTTGTCAGGGTGCATAGCAACCGTACTTTCATGCGTACAAAAAAGTTACCTTCCCAGCATTAGTCTCAAACTGAGATTGAACTTCATCAAGCAAGGCAGGCCAGGACTCGAACTCCAACTTTTGCCACGAGGACACCAAGACAAAAATAGGTTCTAGTTGACCTACGCGTTCGAAAATCATAGGGAGCAAAAAAAGACGACCATCAGTATTGCAGTAAAAAACAAGCCTATGCTTGCCAAATGTAAATTGCTTACCAGAGAGAGGGAATTTTGCAACAGTTTCCTGCAATATCTGGACCCTGTTAAGTAGAAACTGCAAACCCGAAAGAGCCTTCAAAAGAGAAGAAGAAACATATTCAAGAAGCAGTACAACATGTGCTTCTGTGCCTTCAAGCAGTTACTTTAATGCATCAAACGCCAGTGTTCCTTAAAAGCCCTATAAACAGGTTTTCCCAGAAAGCTAGAACAGTATACTGTTCCTAGTTCACAGTTTTATTCCAAAGAAAGTGCAACCTGACCAACATTACATTAAAGACAATATTTGGTGCTTAAAAGCAAGCAAGCGAGAGAGAGAATTTTGGATAATTCTGTTCATTCATTAGACACGTAACTTTGCCAGCGTGAATCACAAATAAATTCTTACTCTACAAGATATCTCAAATTTTCATTTTTTTAATCAAGTTTCGTACCCCAGCGCACGATATAGGATGTTTTCAAAATTTCTTGGTTAAATTTCTAGTCTAAAAACTAAGGACATCAGGCAAGTCCTCTCAATTAGCCAAATTTCTACCTTAGCCAGAGGAGTGCTCAGAGGTATTGCCAGGATCATTTCAGTCACATCCAATATTTTCTGAAGAGCAGGATGATCATCCGATTCCTTTAGAAGAGATGCAATTCGCTGTTGAAGAATTCCAACTGGCTCCACCATTTTAGCCATCATAGAAGCATTTGAGTCCTGGATGGCAAGTGAAGAATAGAGTTGTTAGAATCCAACAATCAGATTGGCATAATTTTAAAGCAAAAGGAAACCAAAACATACAGAACCTTATAAAAGTTATAAGCTTTAGCTGATTTATGAGACAAATGAAACTTCTGTTCATGGTCCAAAGAGAGGCGGAGTAAATGTTCGGGGATAAGTTTGGCATCCAAACTGGAGGATGATAAACCCTCTAAATCTGCAAACAAAAGGCATGGAGAGAGATTTTTTTTATGGAAAGAAATTTTCACAATATATATGACCAATTGTGCATCCTTTCAACTCAATCACCTTTGAGCATTCTTATTCCCAGTGCATAGGAGTCAATGAAGGAAAATAATCTGTCAGCATCAGAAACCTCAATACTTCCAGACTGAAAAGGGCACACAATAAATAAATGACAGTTCTCGAGATAAAACTTATGTTACAAACAAAATAATTTATTTATTTTGTTTTTTTTGTTTTGGGGGGGGGACTGAGGAAGAAACCCTTGAATACATTCACTAAAAATGACCATCTGCAGAATTGGAGATTTTGAAGCTAATGTGAAGGAAAAACTAATACAAAATCAACCAAAGGAAAAACAAATAAATTAACAGACTATTTTGTGCAGCATAATAAAGATAGGTATCAAGATTCATGCTTGTACTTAGATACAACATCCTTTCATTAACATCAATGAAATGCCAATGGTGCAGTTAAGTAAATCATATCAGACTCGCAAGACCTTTTTTCCCTCCCCATAAGCTTAACGCCAAAACAAAGCCAATGAAAGCTCCGGGTGTATAGGTGATTTGCGCATATCTCATCATAACTCTTCTACTACATTAAAGCCCACCTCCATGTCTCTGCTTATTCAGAATACACTTTCTAACACCAAAAAAAAAAAACAAACAAATGACGATATGTGAATCTTCTATTTTGCAACACCCAACTAAAATCTTTCTGCAATTTGCAGCACCATTGTTCATCCTTTTACAAGAAAACTAGCACACTGTAGAATTTCTCGCAACAATCCACCTCCCCCGCGGCCAGCATTTATGATAATCCAAATCCTACTCAATTCCTTTCCATGCTCCCACCCTTCCTCCCCACCTCTTAAGAGCGAGAAATTTGGATGCCGTATTTCATTCACAAAGCCTTTTGTCGGACGTCTTAAGTGTATTAAATTCTGTGGAATTCCTTACTCTATTGGATCGAATCAAAATGCCCAATTTTTCATTATCCCTTCTGAATGGACCACAATCAAAAAGAACCTCAGGAAAAAAAAATGACCTGCCAAAAAAAATAGCAAGGGCAGCAAAAATCCAAATACATTCAAGAAGAAAGAGCTATTTTCAAACAGATAGGCAGCTTGGGATATAAATATTTTGGCCCAATATATACTTAGTGACACTTACGAAAAATCATGATAATAGGAATAAAATCATAGCACATACACCTGCCATCATTTTCANGAGGGCAGCAAAAATCCAAATACATTCAAGAAGAAAGAGCTATATTTCAAACAGATAGGCAGCTTGGGATATAAATATTTTGGCCCAATATATACTTAGTGACACTTGCGAAAAATCATGATAATAGGAATAAAATCATAGCACATACACCTGCCATCATTTTCAATAAATTGTCCTGACATTACAAACATGGATTTTATACTTCGTTTGCACAGGTGGTAACAAATATCTTAAAGGGTAGACCTTACAAAGAAGATAAAATAAAACGAAATTGGCCCTAGATGCTTGCTTTTGAATTGCAAAACTCATACAATTCCACAAACCATGAACTTTTAACTTCAACATCATAAGAACAGACAGAGCAAAATGGCAGAACGGGACTTATACAACCAATCCCAAGTAATTAGGATAAAGCTTTGTTGAGTTCAGCTGAATTCAATTGTAACAAACCAATTTCAATCTAACGCCTCTTGATTTGTCTTTGAAATGTCCTCCTAATTCTTATATTGGGATTTCATTTGTATATATCGTAAAATATGGCTAGCATCACACAGAAAAGTATTCGAGTTGTGCTTACAGTTTGAACAAGATCCACAGAACCAAATAACTGATTGTGGATGAGGACCATACTGTTCAGAACTGTTTCCTCCAAGAAGTTCCAATCTTCCTCAAAAGATTCATGCTCCTCATCAGGTTTCTAAATGGAAGAAGAGATTCTGTTAGAGTAATGCCCACACACTCACATACACACTGAGAGAATTTGTGGGAAGTTTTGTTACCCTTTCAGCCAACTCTTCTTCATATACCAACTCCTGCCATTCCAAGAAACTTTCATTCATGATCAAACTGCCAAGAGTTGATATATCAATATCAACAATGCTCTGGATCTTAAATGCACGAGGTCTGAACTTGTATTGTTGAGCCTCATGGTCTTCTTTAGTTCGTACCTGAACTTTCATATTCAACCAAAGGCTTGCGATCTCATCAAATATCTTATGCAAGAGCTGATGACAAAAAAATATTTTAGTATTAGTTCACAACATGTGGTAACTGGGATGTGATATCAGAATACAGTATATATAGTCATTTATAAAAGTGGGTCTCACCATGAAGGATGCAGTATCCATAAAATGGGCCTCAGCAATGGAATATGCAACACGCAGAAGGATATTCCGATGAATTGCAGCTTTTAATTGCAAGACTGGTTCCTATTAATTATAGGGAACCAATTAAATTATAAATCTTACATAAACAAATCTGCACCAATGCATCAAGGAGACTTAAAGAGTCTTGAAACATGGAACTTCTAGACAAACAACATGACCGTGAGCTTTATCAAAAGCTTCATAAACAGAAAGCATGGAACAGAGAGGAAAAATCACAGACCATTCGGTTAGTATTCAGTTCACTTGTCAGGGTAACCAAATTTTCCAGCAAATCGATATCCACCGCCTCTATACTTGTAGGGAAATCTATATCAGAGTAAGAAAGCTTGGCTTTCCTGCTGCCACTTTTAATAGACACACTTTTGGGTGAACAACCCCTTGGGAATCTCATAAATGAATAAATTGTTCCCTGCAGGCATTTACAAAAGTCAGCTATAAGGAGCCGCGGAACAACAAAAGCAAAAGAGAAACATCATCATCATTATAATAATAATAATAATAATAATAATAGCAGTGACAATAACAATAACACTAAGAACACAATAAAAGTGGCAAAGGGTCTTGTAAATCACCAGAACCACGTCCATATCATCCTGCCCAACTCTCTCCAAATATTTTTTTTCTAAGGCGCTGGAAAGGAGGAGTGATAAGCCCAATTTCATTTCATATATTGCAACCTGAACTGGTTGAATAATGTCAAAATATGAAGCATATTCATTTGATAGCCGTCCAATAAAACGAGTCGCCATATCCTGGAAAAAGGGAGAAAGGTTGTCACAGGAAAATTATTATAAACGAAGATAATTTCTGTAGAAAATGGATGGCAAATTGAAAGTAAAGAAAAGATACAATGCATTGTTTGAGGGAGTGGGGGTCTAGGGACTGGAGAGGGGAACATAGAAAGAAAAATTCATAGTAAGAGGCTCATCGACAACTGGCCTGAACACAAATTAAATGACCAAGAATCACCAAGTAGATATACCTGCCATTTGTGGACTTGATCAATAACCTGTTTTATATCCATGCTTCTAACATTCTTGATCAGATCAACTGAGGTTGCAAATGATTTAAGAAATTCATCACATTCGTATTTTAGCTCCTTAAATTTCCCAGGGTCAGAGCGGAACACAATCTGAGAACAAGAATAAGCGTTAACAAGTGAGTACAAGCAAAACAGGTTCTGAGGTTTCAAAAATGAAAAGAGACATTTATCCATATTAAGATCAAATTCAGTAACCTTGCTCTTAATGGCAAACTGCAGATAATTGTCAAAAGTACAACTTCTTTANTTCTGAGGTTTCAAAAATGAAAAGAGACATTTATCCATATTAAGATCAAATTTAGTAACCTTGCTCTTAATGGCAAACTGCAGATAATTGTCAAAAGTACAACTTCTTTACTAAAACAAACAATAATGATACCTATCAGGCAACCAAGAACAATCACCACTGGAAAATTAAAATCAGAACACAATGCCAGCGGAACTTACTGGTTTCTTTAAATCCAAAAGAATGAGTATTACAAACGAGGTTCTTCAAAGGAATACATATTAAATGCAACTCAATGAAAAACTTGTCCCAACTATTTGGGTTGACAACACGAATCTTCCGTTAAATAACAACCTATAATATCCATTTCAGTCGGTGTTAATCCCAACCTACCTCTACCTCTAGCACTACCATCAAATAGGTATCCCATCAGTCTTCCTGCAACAGTGCTTATGTTAGAAAATAAAAGGTTAGATTAATGTTACAGTTATCAGTAAAAAACTTAAAAAATGCAAATAGCAAAAATTGAACACATGAAGTCTACAGAAAATTATATGATTGAAACCTAAGCCTGCGCATCTCGCACAAAAATAGAAGCAAATGATCAGATTTTCATATTTTCTTTCAAAACATTTGCATTCTTGTTTCAGTCCTTGTTGAATTGACTCAAGAAACGATAAGCATTAGGAAACATCTATGCCATGAACAAAGTAACAAATGTCCTTATATTTTCATTTTTGCACATTACACTTAAAATATTATTTCTTCATGTAACAAAGGCCTGATTCTGTTTTAAGAATGCGAGATCTGCTGGAAATTAAAAGAAGAAACTCTTTGTAATACCAACCAGAAATGGAAAATACTCTTTTTTCTTGTGTAACTCCATCTAGGTGCATAACTAAAGGACTGAAAACAAAGAGGAAGGGGCTACAAAGCTCAGATTCTGTTTTAAGAATGCAAGATTGGTTAGAAATACGGAGCTTGTAGCCAGACTCTGTTTTAAGAATGCAAGATTGGTTAGAAATATGGAACTCTTTGTACTACGACACCCTAATCTGACAAAGTGATAGACTCTGAAGAAATGCAGCACACAAATGGAGTAGGCAAAGATCAAACAAATCATGGCATGGAAAACAAAATCGACCAATCGCTTCAAAACTAGAAGCTGGGTATTGCTCAGATCTGATTGCCCAAATCAATCTCATCACAAAATAATCTAAACAAAAAGTATATACCCCCCTGACTCCTGAGAGAAATGGTTATAGAGGTTTCCAAACCTGTCTATTCACCCTTTTTCCTTCAGCTTTAAGGTTCTCTAACAACCTGGTTCTCTGTTTATCAGCTTCTCTCAATGAAAAACATCCCGCTAAATAGGCACACTCCTTGCGTACCTGCATGAAGTAATGTAGTAAGAAAACCAATGCACTCAAATCTTCAAAATTATAATGGTAAGGACAAGAGCATGTGGAGCTCAGCCCTGGTGTATGCACCTCTGAGAGTCGTGCTTATGCATGACAAGCAAGATACATGTAAAATACATAATACATAGGACCAACGGATCACAGACACACAAAGGGATCGGCAAAAACCATCTCTATATTGTCATGAGACACCAGGTCCATATTAGAACCAAAATACATCTGAACTACCTCAGAAGAGTTGTCCACATGCATCTTTTACATTCATTTCCACATGCGCATATTTGGTCCTCACCTTTTCCATGTTGCCTATGAAGCACAGACATGTGATTATGCTCACGTATCAGTGTCCTGTCTGGACCACAAACACTGAAACACTTCCAGATCAAACACGCAAATAAGACTATAAGAGTGCCCTTTTTTCAGAATTTCAGACACGCCCCGAAAATGTTAGGGTCTTGTCCCAGTGACATATTCTGATACATAATCACTTTCTTCATCTGTCGGTTGTTTGGAAAATCAAACAGTACTTAGGGAACAACAATCAAATCAGGTCATGAGGAACATAAAGATGATGAACAAAGGCCATCGCCCAAGGTTGAGGAGCTACCAGGAGAATCTTTGCTGGATAAAGCGAAGCATCCTTGTTTCCTTGCATACCGGAGATGGAGGTTTTCAAGAGAGAGAGAGAGATGAAAATTCTTTTGAGAGACAAAACTGAGAGAAGGTTGTACTTTCATAATGAAAGCAACAACCGGTTTTGACCTTTAACATTCTCTAATTTTAAATCATCATATGTCACTTGTTGATTGCTCTATTAGATTGTCCTTATCTCCTATCTTACATATCCCGCTTAGGATTGATTTGAAATGGCGAGCGGTAGAATGAAGTTTTACAATTGGTACCTTCAAAGGCTTCAAGCTCTTTTTTCCCATGCATTTGGGCCAAAATGAGGATACATTCATGTGAACGATGTATTGGGCCCAAGGATCAAAATATCATTTCGGTGTATTGTTTTGGTCACCTAGGAAATGAAAACGTTTCGACGTATTTAGGAAACGTTTCGACCCGTTTCGGAAACATAATGAAAAAAATAAAAAATTTAAAAATTATTTTNATTTCGGTGTATTGTTTTGGTCACCTAGGAAATGAAAACGTTTCGACGTATTTAGGAAACATTTCGACCCGTTTCGACCCGTTTCGGAAACATAATGAAAAAAATAAAAAATTTAAAAATTATTTTTCTAAAACATTGATGGAAATATATCAAAGTATCTTAAAATACCTTGAAACATTCTAAAACAATTGTACAATTGCATTGAAATATATATAATACATTTGAAAATATTATGGAATACCTCGAAATATCAGAATTTCGATTACATCATTGTTTCGTTTCACTCTCCTTGGAAACGAAAACGTTTCGGACGTTTCGAAACGATATTTTGATCCTTGATTAGGCCAAATCAATGTTACCTAAATCATGAGACTTAGCACGTGGTAGTTGTACGGCTACCCAGTACATGACTTTCTCAAGTACATGGCATGAAGGGTAAACTTTGGTAATATGATTTTTTGGGGCGTGATTCATTTTGAAACTTTTATCTAGATTGCTTTCATCTAACGTGATATATAACTATACATCCACATATACATATTGTTTATTTTTTTTCATGTTTGTGATACAACTTACAAAGCAAGCAAATCAATTTGGGTTTAGGATTTTATTATTGGGATCAATAACTTAGGTGACATGGACCGCGAAGTCATCTTATTTGGGGTCGTTGCACTCAAATAGTGGGTAGATTGAGCAATTTATGATAAATCCAAGCCAAATATCTAAATATATGGTTATGTAGAAGGAATAAAAATGTATTTTATTCAACGTGTTTGTGTCCTATTTTTCAGAAAAATGTTGTGTCAGCGTGTCCATGTCGTTTTATATCCATGCCCCGTTTTCGTGTTTCTTAGCATGTTGTATTTAGATAAATACTTATGTTACACCATTCAACTTTTAAAGCACATGGTACTTTAACTGGATATCTAAGCCTAGAAATCCTGAGTTCAAATCACACCAAGCCTCCTCCTTAACTACACCAAAAAAAAAGCATATGGAGACCCCTCTAATAGCTTAAGCTTTTACAGCAGAAAGTGGTTCGACATCGTACTGAAATGTTCTCAAATAAATTTTCACTTAACATGTCACATTAATAACCAAAATCCAAGTCAGATAGAGGAAATATGCATGCATAAGCATACTATGGTGTACTAACAAAAGTAGCGGGGCAAGAATTACCAATAATTTTTCAGGGCAGGTAAGCACATCTAATGTCAGTCACACAAATATAAGTAACAAGGTTAATAATACTACTACGGCCACATCCACAGGTATAACAAGAAAGAGTGGACAAAAAGTACCTCAGTTTCAAGTTCAAGTGAAGCTATCTTATCCATCAGTCGTGAATACTTGAAAGAGTACTTCACAGCAGGATCCAGATCATCACAGCAGATTAACAGATTATAACGTAAAGCCCCTACTTGTAACCATGCACATCCTAGACTATATATGACATCTGCAGAATAGGAAGCCGAGAAAATAAAGTCAAGAGACAGAAGATATAAAGAAATGACAATTAACACAAAGGCATGATACGAACAAAATGAATTTCTAAGCACAAATTAGCAGATAAACCACTCATGTACCAGTAGATGAGCATCGAAGATACAGTTCACCAAGCAGTGGCTGAACTAGCGGATCAATTAAGGAAATAAATCCACTGTGTGTTGATGACGCAAGAAGGCGAGTCAATGCCCTTATATCAGCTTGCTGTGATCCAATGGAAAAACAGTTAAAATGGTAAGCAATGGATCATGGCCACAATGAATGTCCATATGTAAGTTTAAGAATCAAACAAGTAGATAAAAAAAATATAAAGTAGAATGTAAGTGTACGCACTTCAAAAATTCATCTCCAAGATAAAGATTCACCCACCCACAAGTAAAGGGCAAAAAGAAGAGATTACCGTCATCATCTTTTCTTGAACAGAACCAAAAATGGACTTAATTGTAGCATATTTATCGGCTTCAAATGACTTTTTGTGTGCAAATATGATCTGGAAGCAGAAGTGCACAAAAAAACAAGATTAGGTTGTTGCTATTCACAATCACAAAGATGATTACTTCTTCAACATTGAGATTAACCTGTTGGAAGAGAGACCGCGCAGTAGATAAAAAGAAACTCTGTATGTTGGTTGTACGTGGGGAACTATGCCAGATGTTACGCGAAGCCACTCTTAGTTTCAAGCTGTGCACAGCATAGTCCCTGATGGCAATTGTATTATGCCTGATTTGAACCAAGGAAGAGAAATGAGAAATACAGGACTACAATATCGCAAAAAAAAAAAAACAGTCGATCTATTGGGCGTTCCCTTTTAAAGATCAATAATTGGAAAATTACATACAACAGGAAAACCAAGTCCAAAGGACAAGAACAAACATCATACAATCACTGCTCATTCATGACAAGCTTCTCGCCATATGATCCAGTTCTTCCATGTTTCATGGTAACATAACAATCTACGACATGGCACGGACACCACATGAAACAAACACGTTAACACATACCAGCCTTAGGTTGTTCCCCAGGTTGGTCCCCACTAATTGGGGGTGCTGGGAAAAGTGAACTAAGTACAAGATTAACATTTTGCTTTGTTTGCAAAATTTAGCTGCCTACAACCTTGTAGCTGCTAGACATGATGACAGAGAATTTATATGTGGTGTAGATTGCTTGAGCTAAGGAACTGTAATATTTTATGGCTATGGAAAAATTTAAATGTCAAGACATTTAAGAGAGTTGTGCTCTCCAGCCATGTCCGACACATATATTCTTTTCATAGAATTGTCCATGCATCTTGGCTACTAAAGCCACACAGAAACAGTGGTGGCAACTTGGAAGACACTTGGGTACAACTAAAGCAACAAAGAAATAATGGTGGTTCACTAAGAATGGTCTAGAAGTTTCATTTGATACTATGGCTGTGTTGGTAGCATAAAGTATATAACAAATTGCTTCTCTCTTTTTGTTTGTAACTTTTTTGGAGGCTTTCTCATCTTTCATGCACCGACTTTTCCTATTCATAAAGTGTAATTCTGTTGCTGATTGAAGGAGAAGTATAAAACAACTTACCATGCAGAAAACTGATAGATGCCTAATTTTTGATTTAAAAACAAAACAACCCCAAACAGAGTACAGCATGGAAGAAAGAAAGAATGAAATTATAATAATCTTACAGAATCTGATCTGTGGTTGCAGTTTTCACAGGCTGAAAAAGCATATGAGGAAGTACAATATCACAACCATCAAGCCTCGGAAAGTTCTGCATTATTCGTACAGAAGTCATTCAAAAAAGAGCCCTTTTTTCAAGATACAGTATAGAATATTTTCTGTATTACCTTTAACAGAACAACAGGACAAATGGTCCATAGAGATGTGTGCCATCTAAACCACATCTCAAGAACAAAACTAGAAACTTTTGTTTTCGCTGTAACAGAAAGTGAGACACATATTAATTAGCTATTAATAACAATACAAATGCCTAATTTACTAAGGATTATCCTGACCTGCATCTACTGATGTCCAAGCATCCAGGGTCCACAATATCTTTTGATGTGGTGAAAAATCAGTGGGAGGCCTTGATGAGAATTTCAATGAGAAGTTCAAGGCAGATTCAAGGTGGTCAGACAAACAAGATAAAGCCTGTCATCATGAGAGAACAGAGTGAGATTAATGCTGTCTAGAACTGGAAGCACTAAAAATCGCAGGGAATAACATGAACACCTCAGAGGCAGACCACAATGTTAGTAAAGAATAACGCACCTATGAAAAAAAACTATAGCTGTTCAAAAGTTTCTGACGACAACACCTATGGGTTATCAGAGATATCCTCAAGATTACTAGGCTCATGTTGTAGCCTAGAAACAAGAAAGGTTCCTTGAGAAATGTTGGAGCATTGGGAATAAAACTAATTCAAGCAAGTGCACTCCAGGAAGTAAGAAGGCGGGTTTGATAAAAACCAACAGCTTATACTCCTCACGCCCATACCCAGAATGCATATCCCGATATCCGTATATCAGAAAAAGAGTTTAAAAACACATCCCACTCCTGCCACCCCAAAAGGAGAAAAAGAAGTAGCGAAACACATACTAATTGACCCAGATATGTAATATGATAGACAAGATGTAAGACTATACCCTGTTACAATATCAATAATCATCTTTGAACTTCAACTACTTCTTTTTTTCCTTTTTGTGTATGGAGAAGATAATTCATGGTACAAATCCAACCCATTCATATTTACCTACATTAAAGTGGTTTGAAGCCCNTCCTTTTTGTGTATGGAGAGGATATTTCATGGTACAAATCCAACCCATTCATATTTACCTACATTAAAGTGGTTTGAAGCCCAATTCAGCCAATTTCAACGGCAATTTCCAGAAAATTCTTCACTTTAACACAGAAAGTGAAATGCTTCGTCAAAATTCCAACCAACCTGCCAAGTTTGAGGTAATCACTTTTAATAATTAATCAAGCCTAGACTTATTCTGATACCAAAGCTTGAACCTTGATAACTTTCTGTGATGCAACTACTGTAACTCTACTTCTGGACAGAACCTAGTTCTACAGCCTGTGGTCACATAAATAAACTGTGAAATGAACAAATGCACTCTTGAAAAAGTATCTATTAAGGGGTTTAAGTAAACACATCATTACGGAAGCTAGTTCAATAGATACGGAGCAAAAATATAGTTAATAATTTGATGAACAATTATGTAGTTTTATACGCGAGATAAGTTGATCTTACACTTTCCAATTCCTCCGTATCAACCAAAACAATCTTTGAAAGCTCTTGAAGTAGTCCCATATCCCGGAAGAAACTTGTTTCATCAATTAAAGGCAGAGTGACTAGCCAACTATCAAAGCCAGATCTTTGACACAACACATCAGCAGAGAAGAGACAACAAGAAGCAGATAATTCTGCCAGAAAAGATGCTTTCTCAGTGGTCTCTCTATTCACTTGCAACGTGCTTTTTTCATGTTCAAGCCTTCTTACAAGCATCTGCATAGTTAAGATATACTGCGGTTTGAGTGTCTCGAAAAATAGAGGTGAATAAATCCATCCAGATATTATGCAGGCAAACCTGATACATCTCCTCCAACTGCTGAACAATGTTGATATCATCTTTATTAACTTCGCCCATAATATATGATGACATGCAAACACCTTGAACACATGTCAGAAAAACCAAAATAATTAAGGCATCAGGAAATCAAATGAGGATTGTGGATTAATGCTTTGATTAATGAATACAAGAGCAGAGAGAAAACAAGAAGAAGAATTCTCTACTTCACCATCCGGTCTGCCCGATGAGCAGAAAAATACAGAGACATGAGATTTTTGAGGAAAAAAAACCTATGGCAACCAGAAAAACTCCCCCTGAAGATGAAGCAACGAGAAACACAAATGGGGTGCAGGCCTTCCACATATGGCAAAAGAACTTCTAAATACTCCAAAGTATTTCCTTTTTCATTTTCCTTTTAACCTCATATTCATATTCTAAGCATAGGAAAGTACACATTATGACCGTCCCCAATTCTCTCCTCTTTCCTTTCTTATTTTATCTTATCTTCTACTTTCAATAAATAAACAGGCAATTGTACATAAAAAAAATAGAAATAAGTACAGAACTAAATGAAAAACACAAAATTATAAAGCGGAAGGTCCAGAAATGAGGAAAAAACTTTCACTATCCAAAAGCCATGTACATAGAGAAACCAAGATCAAGGAGCAAACTGAATTTGGGAAAGAAGATTGATGTCATTGTCAACTAAGCCAATAATAAAAAATACAGTCCACTGCACAAGACTCCTGCCAGCCTAGAGAGAGTTAGATGTACGCCGTTATGGCACCGCATGTGGAAAGGCTATCTCCATGAATTGAGCAAGTGACACCCAACTCACAATGGAGCAATCTTACCGCTGTATCAAGGCCCTAGTCAGCCTATACAGAAAGCAGCATAAAGCACTCGATCAAATAAAAGATAGTAATCTGAGGACATGAATATTCTACCTTGCATGGCGAGGAAACGGAGTTCAGGAACTGAAGATACAGCAGCTTCAATAAGACCATCATTCACAGCTACAAATGGGGAAAAAATAAGGTTCTAAAAAATAGAGAGAAGAGGAGTCGGAACAACAATGCATTGCTGTTCCGTAAGACAAGGATCCAGAAAATACATACCTATCTCCAATGATTTTGTCTTACTTGGCCAGACCAATTCACAAAGTTTTAAAAGCTGATGCTGCTTGTGATATAAATCCGAAGAAGAAGGCAAAAATGGATGACCACCATGTATCCACAGCAAGGACTTCTGTGATTGCAAAAGCCAAGATGAAACTCCATCCAAGTTCTTGCTCTCCTCCTATGCAAGAGAAGTTCCTTCGTAGTTAGTTCTGGTTACATGTCGGTACCAAAAAAACAGAAAATAGGGCAAAAACGGAGGGTGGAGGAAGGAAGAAGGGAAAGGGGTGCATCAAGTAAGCTCACCAGAAAATTTTCTACTTCCCTTGGACAGAAAACTTGCAGCTTTACAGCATCCTTCACCAAAGAACGCCAAGAAATTAGCAAATGCTCATACTGGGATGTGGCGATTCCATTCCAAAACTGTATGTGGTCTTCAAGAAGGTTGTTGTATAATGGAAAAAGAACAGCAAAAGAAGGAGACTCGACAATTAAATCCAGCACCTCCTTTTCCACCCCTCGTATCAATCTCAACAAAGGCTCAAAACACCAAGTTTTTTCATTGTATTTATACTCGCTCTCAGCATTCCACTGTTGATAGCTAAGTCTCAGTAGGCCTACACTATTTATGGCTTTCACAAGAAGTTCCCCACAGGATTTTAACATGCCATCTGATGAAGAAAAATCAACTAATTCCATTGAAAGCATTGGCTTCAACACCACATCTACTAGATGATCAGACATTAGCTCCCGGCGGCAACGAAAAATTACGTTCCATATAGGGTGCTCCAACTCCTGTCTCAGGGCAGTCAAAAAAGATGTGAAAATATGGCAGAATGACGATAATTGAGAACCAAACCAACTAAACCAGAGAAGATAAAAGTCAAGATCATTTTCAGTGGCTTGCTCAATTGTCCAATTAGCAGCAAACAAGAACATCTTTTTGGTGAGTGCCAAGTCAAATCCTGTTTGCCAACCAGAATTCAAAGCTATTTCATTGGATTTATTCGGAAACATCATAACATGCAACATCTTCAAATCCATCTGGTAACTTCCCATAGAATTCCTAGCAGTTAGAGCTTGTTCCACCGGGTATCGACATTGGGTCATACCAAATGTATGACATGTAATCTGCGCCCCAAGGAACTCCAAATACATGCAATTTTGTCTGACACAAGCCTCTTTTGAGAACCATACAAAATCCCTTAGTTTCAAAGGTGTTGGCCATCCACCAGGCAAGCACAAAGAGCATCCTTGAAAAAAATTACGTTTGCAAGGTTCAGGTATTGTTAAATAACAGATTATAGCATGAGTGACAATATCTTTTCCTTCAGTCTCCCCTAAAGCTGAAAGATATATATGTTCCCAACTTATATGAAGGCTCCATATGGGCCGATTGCCATCAGTGAGAAGCCCTTGCAATAACTGCACCCACCGTGCGAGCTCAAGATATGTGATGCTGACATCAAGGCAAAAACCTTCACGCTTTGCATAAATATGGGCTTTGGCCATTGAATCAACCCATCCACCAAGAGGGATACCAGAGAGGACAAGAAATCTCTTCACATCTTTGAGTTTAGTCTCATCATGATTCTCACCACATTCCTCGTCAAGCAACCAATCAGGCTGCATCACATAAATCTCAACACCTCTGTTTCGCATTGCTCGGGATACTTCACCATAGCTGGGGTTAACTGTGAGGAACATCCGAAAACGGGGATGTGGATGGAGAACCACGGGTTTACCATCCACAGAACCACACTCATTAAGTGTGATTGATCCAGACTGCTCAACCAAAGAGTTTATCCGATCAAGAACCTATATTACACAAAAGAGAAGAAAATTTAAAATTTGTGATGACCGCAAGTGAAGGCTGAAAAGTTCACAAAATAAAAAATAAAAGCAAAGAAAAATCAACAAACCGTTGGATTGCAAAGATTTGCATTCTCTAAAACAATCCACTCTCCATTTTCTATAGCCTTTATCAGCAACCCAGCTACCCATTCAAACTTTGCAGGATATACCCTTCTTCGGTAATCTTCTTGCAACTTTCTGAGTGTCTCCAGAGTTCTACTCAGATCCTTGCATGTGCAAGATAGAGGCAATAAACTTTTCCCCACATCCAATATGAGATGTTCAATGACCTCAACTAACAGAGAAACAGAATCAAAGGATACAGTCCTCCGACTCTCAACATGTGTAGAAGTAGAACAAGTTGAAGGACCATAATCTATGCTCGATAAAAAGGTAAGCCATTGGGCTATCAGGTCTTTTCTCCTTTCAAATGCCTCAGTTGAGGATTCCAACTTCAGGTTGCAATACTCATTTATATAACACTCTACCCGTGCAATGGCAAGTCTATAATTGCGGAAGGCATTATATTGCTCAAAGCATCCAAGTAATTCAGATACATCAGTTCCAGATGAAAGATTCAATTCATTTAGTACATTGCCAGTTAGCTGAGCAAGTAATCTTATCAACGAAGTCTTGCCAGATGATGGCGGACCAACCAATATGCACAACCACTGATGCTGTACACAATGTGCCACAGCTTCCAAGCTGCTACGTATTGCAGGCAATATTTTAAGCTCACTATCAGAGTTTTTTGGTGACTGAAAATGGTTCCTTTCGATGCAGGTGTTCCCAACAATCAAGTGAAGAGGACTAAGCTGCACTCGCGGATATGGATTTGCAAAAGACTTCAGTCCAAAAACCTGTTCATAGAGCCGTATGACCTCTCGGCGATCAGCTGACGTACGCATTCTTTGCACATACACTGTGTTGAGGAAACAATCAATTTTCAAACTTTCCGGTGCACCTTGCAAAACAGCAAAAAAGATAATGTATATAGCTAGCTTCATTAGGACAATATAATAATATTTTTGAGAAACAAGGAAACATTAGAAACCTTGTATGATCTGACATGAACGAATCACGTCTCGCAGATTAAACTCCCATGGGGAACCATCTCCAGCGAATTTGCGATGTATCATGGTGTCTTCATGTAGTCTCTTATTAAATAAAATCAGCTTTGAAAGTATAGGCCTTGCAATTGACGGATAGAGTGAACTACAAATGGAAAGATAGTCTTCCTCACTTAACTCATCCACAAAAACCTGAAAACAATCACAAGGTAACAGATTACTGTTGGTGCCCTGCACCTATATCTAGTTTGCCACTGAAATGTTCAATCAAGTGGCAGACAGTACTAGTAAAAACCATAAGACGAGCCCCACTATCACCTTAGTGAAACGGTTAAGAAAAGATTTTGGAAGGCCTTTCCGGCCTCCACCCTGTTGAGAAGGATTTTGACAAGCAAAAATTCTGAAAGACGATGGGCACTTGAAAGTAAGACCCAATTCCGGGATGAAGACCTCGGCTCGATGATCTAAAATTGCATTCAAGCCCTAGTATACATCAATGAGTTAGTAATCAATCCACAGCATTAAATTAACACAGAAGAACTAACTACAAATACAAGAAGATTTATAATGAAGCATATGCAGGATAATGGTAACAAATCAAAGACAATACCTCCAATACAGATTGCGGAGCAAGATTAAGTTCATCCAGCAGAACCCAAGATCCCTTCTTTAGAGCCTTACAAACCAATTAATACAAAAGTCAAAATGGTTTTCATACTCAATCATGAAACAAATCGAGCACCAAGAACAAAACATTTTTGAACCTGCAGCAGGATTCCATCAGACCATGCAAAATGCATTCCTTCATCACTCTCAATGGGCAAGTCTGACCCCAGTAAATCCATTATATCAGTCTGGCACCAGATCAGCCAGTCAAAAACCATAAGCGCACAAATAGATGCAAGGATGTAGAAAAGATTAGACAAACTTGAGGACAGATAAATGACAATGGACACTCAAACAAAAAAAAGTATGAGAATTACTAGCCTGCTCAGACAAGTTTATCCGTACAACTGTATGCCCTGAAAATTTGCCGAGGGCAACTATTAAACTTGTTTTTCCAACGCCTGGACTACCCTCCAGTAGAACTAGAAAGCAAGGGAAAATTTTAAATGTCAGAGGAAATTCCATATATTTTCTTATTTCTTTGTAGGTAACTGGACTGGAGACGAATATGTATATGAAGTGACTAAATCATCAGTACTAAAAGAATATTACCAGGCTTTGATAGCTGCATAGCACGCAGTACTCGCAAGGCATTTCTACGAGTGGTTGGTGCCAGAAACTCAAAACCCTCAACCTCAAGATGCTCATCACCTGAATAAGGAAACAAAAGGGAATTGAAACCAATTCTGATGCACCTCGTGCATATATGTATGTATATAAATTAATCAGTATGTGTCCTTAATTCAGTCAACAACAAAAAATAGGATAGTGGTTATTTTGTCATTTCAGATTTTTATCTTACTGTGGCTTAGTTGGGCCTAGGCGAGGGTTTTTTGGTGCTGTCACACAGGAATGTCTTTCCCATGTTTGGGAATACGTTTGTTTTTGCAGGTCTATGTGTAAAATATTTTAGTAGCTTCCTTCAGAAGCTTTGGGCTTAGCATAAATAGAAGGGTCAAGTCTCTTTTCCAGCAGTATTTAAATCATCTACAGCTATTGAAATCGGCTAGGGTTTCAAGATTTGGAGGCTAGGGTTTTGAGCATTTGACCCCGTGGCGCTTACTGTACCCTTTGTCGTTGTTTTATGTGTGAGACTAGCTAAAAACCGCAATTTATCTTGGGGATGAAAGCGACCATAAAATATGGTCGTATTAGGGAGATTGAGATTGAGGTCAATCACTTGTCTAAGTGATGATGTAAGAAAAGAGAGACCTAAGTGATGCAATGGAAGACCTCAGCAATGGAAAGATCACATTGTACATGCTATAAAAATTCCGAAGAGTATGGTGTATAGGTTCATATGTTAAAATTTGATGGTGAGATAGAGTCAGATGCATTTTTAGATTGGATGTATAATATTTGAAGCTACTTTTTGACTGAAAGAAATACCTAAAGAAAGAAAAGTGAAGCTTGTAGAAGCAAAACTAAAAGGTCCAATGTTTTTTACACAGTGGAAACGCTATCAAAATAATCGATAAGCAAAGGGAAATGGAAAGGTTAGAAGTTGGCATAAAATGAAAGAGAAGCTGGAAGCTCAGTTCTAGCCTCATGACTACGAATAAACTTTGTATCAAAGGGTGCAAAACCTAAGACAACGTGAGAAGACAAAGACAGTGAAATGGTATTCTCAAGAGCTCCATAGATTGTATTTAAGGGCAATCTTGCTGAAACCGAGAACCACCCACTACGCAAATGGTCTCCAATTGACCATACAACACCAAGTGAGGCCGCAATGACATTCCAAAGAGATTGACGCTTATCAGCTTGCATTGAAGCTTGAACCTCAATTCACTCGTGGTTCATCTCGGAGGCCTGGAAGTGATGGCTGCAACGGCGCATCAAGTAATTGAGCAAACAGCCCGATGCAAGGTGGGTGAACATGTAAAACCCGAAAAAAAAAAAACTATTAAAATCCTAATTAAAGGGGTAAAATAATAATTAATTGTTAAAGCACGGGTAAAAAACGTGAATTTTTATGTAATTTAAATGACGAAACAGACCTCACCGTTGGATCCATCTCGCGAAATCTAGCTAACCAGTAAATTTTTGTAAAATTTTGAGATAGAACACGTGTTACAAAGTGATCGGGTGTCGCGCGACTAAAATAATTGCGATCAGATTTTATTCGCCGGACCCAAAAAATAATTTAAAATTAGTTCAATAAAAATATACTAAACTCAACACAGGACGAGATTTAATTGATTCGGAATAAAAATTAAACCCGTTAAAATTGAACGTGTGGCACGAAGTGGGCCAAATATTAAAAACTATATAAAGTGGAAGACAAAAGTCTTCCACTTACACTTCAACGTTCAGCCAGACAGAGAGATAGAAAAGAAAGAAAGAGAAAAAAAAAAGTTAGATTCTTGATCTTCTTCCTCAGATCTACAAAGATTAAACCGTTTAATCGCTTCAGCCCAAGAATTAAAGTTGCTCTACGCAACGAGATCTACGCACCCACACCAAAGATCGNACAAAAGTCTTCCACTTACACTTCAACGTTCAGCCAGACAGAGAGATAGAAAAGAGAGAAAGAGAAAAAAAAAAAAAAAAAGTTAGATTCTTGATCTTCTTCCTCAGATCTACAAAGATTAAACCGTTTAATCGCTTCGGCCCAAGAATTAAAGTTGCTCTACGCAACGAGATCTACGCACCCACACCAAAGATCGTATTTTTCTCCAAAAATATCAAAGACGATAATTTAGATCTAAGGCTTGGGAAGCTAAATTCAGACTTTCTTTGAAGTTTTACTACGTGTGCTCACGCTACGAGAGGTAGGGTTTCCCCTATTTAGATATAATTTCAACCTAAAATATGGCATATGAAATGAGTAGGCAAAAGGTGTATATCACATGTTAGGCCTTGACTAGTGTAATTAGTGGATCAAATATAGGATTTATAATTAACTTTGTAATTAGTAAAATCCTATTGTANAAGTTTTACTACGTGTGCTCACGCTACGAGAGGTAGGGTTTCCCCTATTTAGATATAATTTCAACCTAAAATATAGCATATGAAATGAGTAGGCAAAAGGTGTATATCACATGTTAGGCCTTGACTAGTGTAACTAGTGGATCAAATATAGGATTTATAATTAACTTTGTAATTAGTAAAATCCTATTGTAATTAACTTGGTGTAAATTAATATTAATGGTTTAAAAGTATGTTAATTGTATATTAGCATGACTTGAGGTTTTAATGGTATATCAAGTTTAATAAAATTATTAACTTGTTATGTGATTATGAAATAATATGTATGTTAAATGATTATTTAGCATATGATTATTGTAGTGGACTTGTGCTTATGTTTTTAAAATTAATAAACATGTTGTCATGTTGGAAGTAATAAACATGCTACTTGTGTAAATTGATGTGTCCTCTAGGTGTTTGTTTAAATGCATAGGCGAATACAAGTATGTTAATTGAATTAATTATCTTACATAATATGCTTGAGATTGTGTTGAAAATGTCATTATATTGCATTCATTATGTAATGGACATTGTAAATGGTACCAAAGGCAATTGCACATTGTATTGCACTATGCATGGCTGGATTACATTCATGGGCATTGACATGGGTGAGAGTGTGTGTATAGTACAAAATCAATCACCACATAAATGGTTAATCGTGAACNCATTATGCATGACTGGATTACATTCATGGGCATTGACATGGGTGAGAGTGTGTGTATAGTACAAAATCAATCACCACATAAATGGTTAATCGTAAACTTGTGAAAGTCGCACCAAGGCCCGGATGAGTCGCACGAAAATTAAATAAATAAATGTGTCGGGATATAGCAAGAAGGAATAGATTTTTCCTCGGATGCAAGACCTGTTTACCTGGTTTATACACTTTCTTGCAGTGCAATTCCAAAAAAGTATAACGGCGAAAACAGAGCCACAGGTGANAAACTTGTGAAAGTCGTACCAAGGCCCAGATGAGTCGCACGAAAATTAAATAAATAAATATGTCGGGATATAGCAAGAAGGAATAGATTTTTCCTTGGATGCAAGACCTGTTTACTTGGTTTATATACTTTCTTGCAGTGCAATTCCAAAAAAGTATAACGGCGAAAACAGAGCCACAGGTGAGATGTCCTGAAAATTCATTGATGGTGTGGTATCTCATTGGTGTAATAAAATCATCTTCCCACAAAGACACAAAAAAAATGAATTAATTAGTCATTGAGTGTACATAACACTAATGACAGGGGCTTGGAATGCCCGAATACATACGCATGGTATTGCAGGTGTTGTGGGAGCTCAGGATGGGGCTCGACGTTGGTATTACTTGTGTAAGTCTCATCTCATAACATAACACGATTTATGACATTTGTTCATAATAGACGTATTTGAATGAATGCATGAAATGATTGTTGCATGTGACATTTCATATGCATTTGGGTTGAAAGTTATTCTTTATAGGAGTTACTCTATTGAGCGTTGGTTTACCCTTTATGGGTACATTTTTCAGGTATCGTACATCTGTCCACCGAAAGCAAGGCCATGGGCCCGCTTTGACAATAGAACCGGTCTGTGGCTCTATTTTGACTTTGCAGTCCCTTGTATAGGTTTACTTTTGGCCTTGTATAATTTTTGTAAAAAAAAACTTCTTTTATATTAAAAAGGCATGTATATGGGACTCTTTTGAGACATTTATTNAACATTTTTCAGTTATCGTACATCTGTCCACCGAAAGCAAGGCCATGGGCCCGCTTTGACAATAGGTCTGTGGCTCTATTTTGACTTTGCAGTCCCTTGTATAGGTTTACTTTTGGCCTTGTATAATTTTTGTAAACAAAAACTTCTTTTATATTAAAAAGGCATGTATATGGGACTCTTTTGAGACATTTATTCTTTTATGAATGAATATACGTAGTGATGATGATTATGATAGTATTCAATACTATGCAATTGAGTATGGATGAATGGGTCCAGTGTGGTCAATGTTGTATGATTGCACAGGTTGCGTTTTGGATAGAGCTCTCCGTACAAAGGAGGCTCTGTCCAAATTTTATTAAGTTCTGGATCCCGGTAAATGGGGCACAACGGCATGGTATCAAATTACACGGTATCCATGAGTATTTCCAGGGTTGATGGGTGATCAACTGGGTAATTACGGACACCCGAATTTTGGGGTGTCACAGAACNACTCTCCGTACAAAGGAGGCTCTGTCCAAATTTTATTAAGTTCTGGATCCCGGTAAATGGGGCACAACGGCATGGTATCGAATTACACGGTATCCATGAGTATTTCCAGGATTGATGGGTGATCAACTGGGTAATTACGGACACCCGAATTTTGGGGTGTCACAGAACAGCTGCTTCTATGCATCCTAAGAAGCAATCAAACAGGAAAGGAAGTTCAAATACAATAGAATACTTGAGGCCAAATGACAAACAAGTGTTACCTCCATTCAAAATTGGGCATAAGTCTGATCAATGTCCCAAAAGAGTCAAAACTCATGTTAATCTTGTTGGTGACCAGGATGTGAGATNAGAAGTTCAAATACAATAGAATACTTGAGGCCAAATGACAAACAAGTGTTACCTCCATTCAAAACTGGGCATAAGTCTGATCAATGTCCCAAAAGAGTCAAAACTCATGTTAATCTTGTTGGTGACCAAGATGTGAGATTTGAGGACAAACAAATGTTACCTCCATTCAAAACTGGGCATAAGTCTGATCAATGTCCCCAAAAGAGTCAAAGATCATGTTAATCTTGTTGGTGACCAGGATGTGAGATTTGAGGACAAACAAATGTTACCTCCATTCAAAACTGGGCATAAGTCTGATCAATGTCCCCAAAAGAGTCAAAGATCATGTTAATCTTGTTGGTGACCAGGATGTGAGATTTGAGGACAAACAAGTGTTACCTCCATTCAAAACTGGGCATAGGTCTCATGAATGTCCCAAAAGAGTCAAAGCTCATGTTAATCTTGTTGGTGACCAGGATGTGAGATTTGAGGAATATTTTTGCAAATATTGAAGATACAAACCAGTAGTTAGAAACATATGAACAAGTGATGTGGAGAAGAAAGAATTAAAGGAAATGTGGTTGTCAAGACACTATTAATTCGACATTCAATGATTGCACAACCTACCAACCACAAAAGATAACTGGCTTCAGAAGGACATCTTCAACAAGAGGAGAGCCGCGTAACTTGATAATTGGTAGCGCAAGTAGTGAGAATCTAGTTGCTCAAGAGATGGTAGAGAAGGTAAAGCTCAAAATTGGGCATCCACAACCGTAAAAGTTCTTGGGTTCAACAAAGGAATGATGTAACTATTTCTTCAAGATGTCTTTTTAGTTTATCAATTGATCCTTCTCAATCTTGGTATCTCTAGATGTTTGAACTTCACTACTTAACCAAAAAGCATTCTAACCAAAAAACATTTAAAAAAAAAGAGTTATAACTTCTGCACAGCTGCTTCATTCATAAATACTGGGTCAATCAACAGATCTCCACTATAATATTAACAAGTATACTATTTTCAAATTAAAGCATTTAGGTCAAAGTTTCGCACATTTTGACTTGCATTTGCATCTGCTAACATTTGGCCAACATATTTGCATGTTGTGTAATCTGACAACAAATTTTGGACCTAACCCATAATTCAATAACTTCACACATTTTACCCTTTTTACCCCATTACCTTGTGTTTCCATTCTTCTGGAGAACAGTGGGCATTTTTACTTTTGAAAGAAAGTTGGAAGTGCCACCAAGAACTGGACCATTTATCAACAACTAAACCAGATGTCAAAGTTTCTTAAAACCAAGGGCAAGGAATATTATATTCTATATGAGCAACAAAAGCTCTACATCTCCCCTTGACTCACAACACCCCTGAATATAAATCCGAAGTTGATAGTTTCCTCATTCAACATTGACTCGAGTGACATCCACAGCTTTATAGTTACATTTATCAGGAAAAAGCAAACTAACTAATAAACCGTACCTTTCTCAATGTAGAATGGATGAATACCAAAGAGCCCGTCACATTGCATGCTATCACTGGATGCAATAACTGCAGCCCTTCCAAAATCAGCCCAACCATAATTTTCCATTTTGGAAAGGTCTGAGTCATCCAAACTAGAGTTGCACTCCTGTTGCAGTTACAGAACATGCATATCTAAGTCGTTTATTATATATTAGCAAAACATCAAGCGAATGTTTAAGAATAACATGACGCCACATAAGCATTTTGAAAAGTAGTTTTTGAAATGGGTAACGTAATATACCACACAATTTTTAAAAAGGTGCCCTTTCTTGGCCTCGCTTTGGACTTCATTAGTGATTAACATAAAAAGACCTTTATAATTCATAAAAAAATATCTCAATGCTAGAGATTCAATTTTGATGGGGTTGCCCCTGCTCACCGAGGTCTACAGGGCACATTCAGAGCTTGGTGAGTCAAAACTATTTCAAAGCAGATAAAAAAGCGGATTTGCCATTAAGGCAGGGTGTCCGCCACTTCTGGAGGCATTCAGGACACATTCGGTATGGAATCATCATGCTATGCTTGAGGCTGACTCAAAGGTTTTGGGCATTGCACAGAATTCTGAGTCTTGGGATTTTGGCGGTACCCCTACCATACGCAAGAGCTTCTCGACCTTTTCCAGAGGCAAAGATCAAATAGTTTCTCATATTGACTAATTATAGATTTGGCACACTGTCTAAAACTAGAAGCTAGTACAGCATTACATTCAAGATGACACTTGTGTGGCAGATAGAGTGGCACATTTTAAGGTTTCAGTGGTTTAATGCTATCTTCTTTTTGCATATGGTTGGTTCATGGCTCTCATTAGTTGAAAATTTCCTGATATTCAGTGATGAAACCCATCAAGAGTTTCGGTTTCTTAGCATTTATTTAAGTCTTTTATCTAGACCGCAAAAGTGAAGGGCGGGCAAAAAAACATATTGTTAGTCTTTCGATCATGCCAAGCATAACTGATGCAGAGTTGGCTTTTACTTATGCTATTGAAGATTCCTAAGACATTCCTGGCTATATTAACTTCCAACCCTCCCATAAGAAAAATATGAAATACATAATTAATGAATAGTTAAAGCACAAAAAATTGTAGCTACTTGGGAACCCTAAGAAGCTCGGAGCAGCACACAGCTCGACCTTGATATTAGTTTTACTGAAACAAAATTATGTTTCAGGCTGGATTTTGTATGACGCATGCTCATAAATTCGCAACAAGGTAGAAGGAAATAGCACGTGACAAGGGCATTTCATGTCGGTCTAAATTGAACAAATAGAACCCAAAAATTTCAGAAAATAAAGAACACCACCTTTAGTTGTTCCAGAAGAAAAGAGAGACAGTTGCCCCTCAACTCCGTGGCATCACTTTTTGAGACACCCGTACCTGAAAAGCAACAGCACAAAATGTCTTAAACGAACAGAATTCATGCCGACAATAAGTCTGCAAATACCTAAAAGCCAAGATGAGGATATTCACTTTCAAGAATCACAATAATGAATGGACTGGTTAAGACCAACTGACAGAATCAAATCGAACAGGTTTTTTCTCCCCTTTCCCCCCACCAGGCAAGCACTTCATCCCCATGTAAAATTCCCAGTCACATAAATTTTGCCAGGTCCAGAAATCTATAACCATGATGATTTACCCCTATCATTACGAAAGTCTCAGAACAAATAAAGCCAAGACCATACACCAATATGTCTTTTCTGACTACCTTAAATAATGTTCAATGAATTCTAATAAGGTATATTCCTTTACCTTGGCCCGCATCCTTCTGTCTTCTTCCCCCTTCCTTTAATGGCTACATTTCTCACCACAACACCACCTCAACATGGATCTAATCAGTAATTCTAGGACAAAGATATATGTTAGAACATATGAACCTTCAATCTATCCCAAAAATGCCTTTCCCAGGGCCTCAAATAGCTTAAGTCAAACTTAAAGAATCATAGTAGATCATATGCAGGAAGCTTTTACCTCCGCCAATTTTTAACTCCAATCTAATTGTCTGATTTTTTTTTTTGCTACCACCACAACACCACTTGCTTTCCAAATAGGAGATGAGAAAAAGGATTCTATGTGGTTTATGCTAAATAGTTAGGACAAATTATATTCAATTGTGTTGATTTGAGTGGTCCTCACTCCTCAGTAAGCAATACCTCCACCTTACCATACATAACAGCTAATTTTTTCCCTTGTACCAATGCTCACCCATTCTGCAATTTCACCCTTACTCATCTCACCTAGAAAGTATTTTCTTAATTGCCCAGCCCTAAATATGATTAAAAGTACCAACAAAGGAGATATTAAACCCAAAAGGACATCAAGAATATCAAAAAAAATTTCCACAGAAAATCTTGACATAACTGAAGAAAATGGCTTCACTGGTATGTTTTTTCACATATATACTACATATCTAGTATTGGAAGCCCCTTAAAAATACAAAATATGTAATAAACANATTCCACAGAAAATCTTGACATAACTGAAGAAAATGGCTTCACTGGTATGTTTTTTCACAAATATACTACATATCTAGTATTGGAAGCCCCTTAAAAATACAAAATATGTAATAAACAAAAAACCATAAAGATATAAAATATGAAAAGAGCTGACCAGAGATAATTTGAAAAAAATTATGATTATGCCCAAAAGATTTAATTGAATATAACAGATGATTTCTCATGTGAATTTTGTGTTTGCGCAATGCCAATTTAAGTTTTCCAAAAATCCCCTCATTGGTCAGGAAAAGCCTATGTCTGGCCAAAGACATATACACAGAAAGCAGAAAAGATTGTGCAAACCAAAAACAATGTTGAGATAGCAAAACTTTGCAGTGTACTTCTTCTAGAAAATGTGGAGTACGAGAGCAGAAGTTTTCCTATCATGCAAACAAATCAAAATAAGATCTCAACTCAACAAAGCCTTATACCAACCCCCTTGAGTTGGCTACATAAATCATGTATGCCATTACTCATCATCCAGATCATCTGCTAAACAATAAGCTATTGAAACCTTAAGGGTCACCATTAATTTCAGTATATCTCTATCACTAGCATTACTATCAGTATGTATTACATCACTTGCTACTGGTGTAGTTATAGGTCTCCTCTAGACATTGCCAACCAATCTTAGTCAGTTCTCTCTTTTAAGTTATCTACAATTGGTATTGCTTACTATTTCACGCATATATCTATGCCTAACCCTACTATTTCTTATCATTGCACATGTCCTTCTCGACATCCATATTTCAGTTACACTATATTTCTCAACTTGTTGTTTCTCANACAATTGGTATTGCTTACTATTTCACGCATATATCTATGCCTAACCCTACTATTTCTTATCATTGCACACGTCCTTCTCGACATCCATATTTCAGTTACACTATATTTCTCAACTTGTTGTTTCTCATTGCTCTACACTATATGGTGGTTTTGTAGAATTTTATTTTCAACTTGTGAGAGATACTTCGATCTCATTTCCACTAGATGCATTTCTTCACTTAATTCCACCTCCTTTACTCCTCTAAGTAATGTCATCTTCAATCTCAACCCCTCCGCATGAATAATCGACCACAAATATGGACCACCCAAAGAAGGGCCACAAGTGGGGGGCGTATTAGACAAATACTTAAGCTTTTAGATTTGATGGTAGTTCAACTGGTCATTACTTGTTATCATTCAATTTCTATCTTTGCTAACATAAGAATTTCTACTTCTGCTGAAAGCTGTATTCCATTTGTTTAGTTACTAATTTTAAATCCTCTTATTTTCAAAGCTTCTTTACAAACTTCTAATTAAGTGCTAACTTCTACTTCAATTCATACTATATGTGTGTCTTATTCAAAACAAAGGCAAAAGAAAAATACAGCTTACAATTGGTCCCTAATGTAAGATTACAGTGTTCGACACTTCATTAGTTCCTCTTACACCTGCAATTGTTCTTACTATAGGTACAGCATCCTTGTAAATTACCCTTTCTCTTTCAAAATCCAACATATCATATCTTTAGGGACTCTCTCTTAGATCAATCGCCAAATCTATAAAACTCAAATGAATTTTTTTCCTTCCCTACACCAGTCCATTTGTTACCATGCATAAATTAGTAGACTCTAGAATATTTTTTCAAGTCTTCATAATTGTTCGATCATTTTCTTCATTCTAAGGGTCATTTTTTTTATATCCCACTAATTTGTACAACTCACAATACTTCCCTTCCCTCATCTATATTTATATACATCCTACTTATAAATGTAAACAACTGAAAAAAATTTGATCCTGTTTTCTCCCTAATCAATATTTTAAAGTCAAATATATCCTAACATACTTTGTTTTCTTAAGTTTATCCTTAAGTTATTTTGTCAACTTCCGTATTCCTTCAACATCCTATTACAACACAAAGTCTAGGCCTCCAATTTGATCTCCAGAATATACATCTCATAGGCGCTTAGTTCTATACAAGTTTCTAACTCTATCTTCACCTTGGATAATTAACTTTCTCAAATCGTTCATACAAGAGTTTTTTAACCAAGTCTATGAAGAAGTAAAGTCCACTCAAGAAACTATCAAACAACATTATTCAAAGCTTACATGTACAGATTTTTGTAAAAAGCAATTGTTTTTATTATTTTTAATTTTTCTTTAGCATTATAGTTATGGAACTTTTTTAGGCCCTAACAAAATGAGTTTTCCTGGCTAATGAGTTTTGGGGTATTGAGGTTTATTTGCAAATGGTTAAATATTGAAAAAAAAAAAATTTAACTATAGCTCAAATCATCTATGTATAATGCACATGTACATCAATCTAGTATCTACAAAGGGGTGATAAAATACTATCTCCCCACTTGTTGGGTATTATTTTTGTTATCATAATACTTTTATAAATTAACCAAGATAAACATACATCCCCTAAATACTTCTATGCACCAACCAAGGATCGAAATATCGGTTCGAAACTGTCGAAACGTTTCCGTTTCCAAAGAGAGCGAAACGAAACAATAATGGAATCGAAATTCTGATATTTCGAGATATTCCATAATATTTTCAAATGTATTATAATATTTCAATACAATTGTTTTAGAATGTTTTAAGGTATTTCAAGATACTTTGATATATTTTCATCAATGTTTTAGAAAAATAATTTTTAAATTTTTTATTTTTTTCATTATATTTCCGAAACGGGTCGAAACGTTTTCAAAATATGTCGAAACGTTTCCGTTTCCTAGGTAACCGAAAAAATACAGCGAAATAATATTTTGATCCTTGACACCAATAGGTACGATATAAACCAAACCAAAGCTTAAGAGAGAAATTTAATCATAAACAAACCAACCGTTTTTAATGCCTTGCTTAAAAAGCCATTCATTATATGGAAATGATTCCTAGTAATACAGAGAAAAGGTTAAACTTCCAAAACCAAGCAAGAACATACCTAAACTTAGTCCATCAAGCAAAATGAGGAATGCCCCATGTAAGAATGCAAATTCAGGTTGTAAACTTCTGTGGGCCACATTAATAAATGCCACCCAAGACAAAAGATCTCTCACGGTAAGCATTCTTCCTGTTTGTAACTGGTTGAACCACTGCAAGGAAGGTATGAGCTTTTAACGGTAGTTAAATAACACCATGGAGCATAAAAATGAAATGAATGAAGTACAGCTGCTGGATTACTAAATAAAAGAACACCACTAGATTAGTCACCCACGCAGTGCTGATTGCAATAAACAATGAAAAGTCAGCAATAACAATAGTAGACAACAAGAAGGAGAATTGGTTAAAATGGAAGATAATAACCGTGAGGTTGTCAGTTCAAATTAGAGGCAGTAACATGCAGAAATGGCAAAAAAAAGGCTTATACCCAAATCCACCGTCCCAGCACCCTAGGTTACCGAGGATAGAAGTAATGAACTTCTTTTGAAAAATCAGAAAGAAGAGAAGGGGGAATGTCAGCAGCAGAAACAAGAAGACCAACTATATAGCCTCACATTAGAAAATCACCATGTCAATCTGGCCCAATCACACACAAGGGAAAAACCAATAATAAGGGGGAACCATCCCAGTCCCAGTCGAAATAATAGTGTTGCACACCAATAAAACAAAATCAAACAAAAATCATCAAATGCATAAACGAAATCGTGAAAAGGCTTAATGAAATTATATACAAATGCAGCCAACCAATACAAATGATTCCTTACTCCAATCATACCACATTATTTGTAGAATTTAGAAAATCTGACGACCACTCCTTAACAGATGTCATTTTTCTAATTGTGAGTTTTGAAAGAAGCCACAACAAAATAATAGTAAAAATAAGAGATATCTTTAACTCATATGTTCTGAAACAAAAAGCTGATATTGGTGATAACAGAAAATAAGGGATGCATTAAATAAATCAAGCATATCATCCAACAATTCAGAGGAATCTCCAGTAACTCAATAGTATAGAGCCCATAGGTAAGCATTGAGAAAATGGAACAGAACATACCTCCCAAAATTTTAGCATAGGATCCACAATGCAGGAGAGTTCTGGGTTTGATAATCTGCAAGATGAAGACAAATGCAGGGGAAATAAATCAAATAGGAACAGTTGTTGTAAATTAAATAGCTTAATAGATATGCTTATCATAATTTACATACCTCTCGAAAGCAATACTTTTAAGCTCATTTAGTTGACAAACAGGGGGTACCCATATCTCGGTAAACCGATTGCGAAGGGCTGGAGATAGTTCCTTCTTGCCATAATCACCACCAGGATTCATTGTTGCAAGAAGAAAAAAGTTGGGATGGGCAGTTAATCTCTCAAGATCAGACCCACCTTTCTCAGCCAAAAACTGCAGAAAGCAAAAAAAAATTCAAAAATGTTCCAGAGAGAGAGAGAGAAAACTGTAAGAATTAAGCCAAACTGAGAGCAAAAAAGCACAGTAAGGAATTGAGACAGGAAACAACCGGATTATGATACAAACCCAAGAATAGGATGGGATCAAAGGAAAAAAGGAGGAAAAAGAACAAGTACCAACGAAATGCGCTAAAAGAGAAGGCAAACGTTGAAAGGGTAACATGTCACAATGCAAGTAGAAGTAAGTTGCTAGTTACACATGAACATCTTCATCAATTGATTAAGAAAAGAAAATGAGAGACTCAGCGATCTGCATATGTTTATTCTTCACATTTTTTGACAGAAATTCTGACATGATTCATCAAAGAAAGGAAAATGATTAAAGCCCCAAGGAAGACTCATTTCGAACAAAATGCTGGCACTCTGGTAATTGTTTTACCATTGCATGCTTTAAATAACACTATTTCAAGCAACTCTATGGAGCTGAAAGGTGAACAGATTTCTATAGTAGTTTTACATTTATACAACAGCACCTATTACAGACCTTCCGTATTACACAGTCAGTACGTGTAAGTTGTAACTGCAGCATTAGCAATATGAAACAATAAACTAGCTTATTTCTACCAAATGCATATCTAAATTTCAAATCTCCTGATAAATTACCCACCAGTTTCCTCTCCGGCTCCAAGACACTGTTCAATCTTTCAAGCACACTATCATCAGCCAATGAAATTTCATCCACAAGAAACAGATCACCATCCTTCATTGCTTGCACAAGAGATCCATCTTGCCACATAAAAATGCTCTGCCACTTCTGATGCAGCTGAACTAGGTCAAAATTCATTTTCTCGATGGAATCGAGTTCTTGTAAGGTGACATCAGGATGGGAGACAAGACCCTTTCTGTAGTTGTTTATTATCACAGACAATTGATTTAGAATGAGACAAGCTTGACTAATGTCTGAAGAGAGATTCTGCAGCCAAACAAATGCATCGAGTAAACCATAAATATCGTATCAAAAGTACGCCAGGCCTGAAGTCTCCAAAATCAAAGAAACCGAAAAAAACATACAGGGGCACCAGGAAAGTGGATAAAAGCCTTTGACTGCATCAATTGCTCACATAGGTGTTTAAACTCAGTAGTTATTCTTGATCTCTCTCGTACAGGATAGAAACCCTGTTCACCAATATCATCAATAAATATATATGACACATAACTTATAATAATTAGCTTTCACAAGAGGTGACAGCAGCCCATGCCAACAAAGAAGGTGTAATAGACCAACCCCAAGAAAATCAGATGTTTCTGTGTACTGATGGCAATTCAAAATGTGTAATTTGGAACCCAAAACAAGACTTAGCAATTGGCAAACAGTCGTCTTCCCTCCACCAGTTTCGCCGACGAGGAGGACAGGCTCACGCAGCTTGTAGCAACGTTCAACAAGAAAGTACAACCTCCACATACTTCTAGTCCAGATAACTCTGCAACAATGACAAAAGAGGTGCAAAAAGGTGATAAAGGTTTAAATGCTGCAGGGAAAATTGCCCAACAATGTCTAAAGTTTCTACGGATACATACTTCCCAATGTTCTCTGAAATTCCCGAATATTTGCACACATTCGGAACCCAGTCCCCCCCTGCTGGTTCCTGCATTACAGAACCAATACTTTACTATATTCATCCATTCTGAAACTAAAATGTTTCTCATATTATCTATAACAAAGTTAAGGAAATTGCGAGCCCCCAGGTAAAAAATGTATCGAGAAGAAAAGTCTAAAGCTCAGACACATTGTCCAACACAGCTTCCAACACATGTTTCTAAGTACTTCAATCAAATAAACTGATAATAAACCATTGCTGGTTCACCGTCATTTTGGAGAGGCACAGTTATGCATACGTAATACTAATAACGATATCCCATTATACCCCATTTCAGTTATGGCAAAATCTGTTTACACTTGGCATCAGATCAAGTAATTTATGCCACCTCCTGCCACCAGTAAATTGGCACATATTATCAACCTCGCGATCCATTCCCTAATTATGTATGTACTGAAAAATCTAGTCATAACAATTTTAAACAAGACAGCACAATTGTCATATGAACAATCATAATACATAACAAGGAACTAAAACTCGTGCCAAGTCAAACAATCTATACCACTGGTCCACTTTGTGCTTTAAAGTATACCACCCACNACAATTTTAAACAAGACAGCACAATTGTCATATGAACAATCATAATACATAACAAGAAACTAAAACTCGTTCCAAGTCAAACAATCTATACCACTGGTCCACTTTGTGCTTTAAAGTATACCACCCACTTAAAAACTCTATGTAATATTTTCATTTCTGTGATGATATTTATTAATACCACAACAATAATCACTCTGTTCCTACACCACAATTGATCAGAGCTCAGATTACAACAAATTATAGGAATGGAACTATAATTCTAAAGACAATAAACCTGAATCTGACGTGAATACATCTTTGTAAGAGATGCTTTATCCACACATAAATTGGACTCACATTTAAGTGCATTCAACAACTTGTTTGAAAAGGCAGTAGTCCAATTGGATCTACTAGAGAATGTTATACAGTGTTAAAAGGAGAAATCAAAGGATACCTTTTCACAACCATTGGAACAAAGACTTAAACGTTGAATGGATACCAATACTGGAATACCAAAACACATTGTCGATGACAAAAAACTTTAACGTTAAATTTATCCTCATCGTTAAAATAAGCGCTCAACCATTACTGGAAAACCAATACAAATTGTCGATGACAAAAGACTGCATACGTAACAATTGCAGATTGATAGAGGATCTTGGATCTTAAATATAATGATTCAAAATCATTACATTAAATATCTCGATAAACTACAATGAAATTTGATAATGTGAATACCACAGTTGCATGAAACACACATGCATACCTAGGACATGCCTTGAAGAATCAAACAACCAATTAGTGAACAAATCAAGAAAAAAGAAAGTATGCAAAAACTAAATCATTTGAAGAATTAAAAGTCATACTTTTCAATGATAATATCAAATGAAAATCCCTAGAAAGGCATCCAACAGAAAGAACAAAAAAATATGTTACTTAAATAAAGTGAATATCAAACAATTCAATTGATGATTAAACGAGTCATCACAAATCATACTGGCAATATATTCGTACAGAAAGGAAATGTACAAGTGCACCACCACACAAGATGCTATGTAGATATATGATCCAGTAGAAACAGTAGTCAACTCTATTAAGGGAATGTTGCCAGAGTGGTTTTTAGTTGCTTCCAAAGAGATTCTGGTGACGCTATTCAATTTGGTGTCACAAACGATCTCTGAACCAAGAAAGTGGGACCCTTTTGCAGTAAAAAAAAAAAGGAGATGGAGATGACAAACAAGAGTCTCTTATATGCATATTTTTCTGTTGGGGGGAGGGAAGAAGTGAGGGCTGGAAGGAGAGTGAACCTGCTTGTACATGTCTTCCTCAGAAAGCTTAACTCGCAGCTGTCTCTCTAAAACTTCTTGAACAACTCTTTTCTCTCCATCATCACGTAGCCTTTCTGCCAACAAATAATAACCATCTCGAGCTAAATCTTCATAGGACTTACCAAATGTCCGGAAACGATCAGCCCATCTAAACAAATCGCGTGGGGTTATAAACCCATGTTTTCCTGCAAAAACTTTGCTACTTTGCCTATGTAATTGCAACTCCTTCATAACTTCTACCATTTTGTTAGCATAGCTTTGAGGGACTTTGCACCTATTCTCCAATATTATGCTCAACTCATCTTGTGGGATTTCATCAACATGGATCTCCACAAATCGATTGCGAAATGCTCGAGAAAGCATTTTACGCCCACCATAGAAAGTGGGTGGATTTTGAGTGGCAAACAGCATAAAATCTGGATGGGCACAAATAACTTCAGCGAGTTCAGGTACATAAAGTTCCCTGTTGTCATCAAGCAACCTGTTCAATGCTTCCAGCACATCAGATGGGGCCAGGTTAAGCTCATCTAAAACTACCCAATGCCCATTCCTGACAGCCTTAACCAGTACACCTTCATGGAACACTAGCTTCCCACTAGAATCCGTGATGTAAGAACCTAGGTACTCCTGCAGATCAGTATGCTCATGGTTATTGATCCGTACAAATTCATGACCTGTTATTGCAGCAAGATACTGAACAAGGCTAGTCTTCCCACTAGAGGTGGGCCCCTGCAACAGAATCGGATATCTTCCAACAAATATGGCACGTGCTAGGTTCCTAAGATGTTCCTTAACACTCTTAGTTAGAACATAGTTCACCAAGAAATTATCAGCCCTGGAATTTCCACAAATTGTCAAGTAACGATCAAAAGGGACCTGCGGGGGTACCGTTCCTCCCACCAAACATGACAAAATCAATTGGTTCATCAATTTCGCACTAGGTTCATCTAACAAGGTAAGAAAAAACATACAGAATCCATCATAAAGGGCTTTTTGAAATCCAAAGGTTCTCCTTGCCTTCTTTGTATACTCTAGGGCACGGTAAAGAGACCTTAAACTGTACTGGGGTTTCTGATTCGCCCCATCCTGCAGCCTCTCTTCAGATTCCTTTTTGGCCTCTTTGTAAAAATGGACAATCTTTTTTACTAGTTCATTGTTTAAATGGTTATCATCCATAAACTGATTAATAAATAGAATTAGATCTTCATCATCCAACACATCATCAACAAAATATTCCGTAAACCTGCTCCGTAATGAGAAGGACAAGTCTCTCTTACCAGCATCAGTCGGTGGATTCATACAGGCAAATATACGGAAGTTGGGATGCCGTTGTATGTAATCAACATCCCCTCTTTCAGCTAAACAAAGCGACCCATTCCCTCCTTCAAGAACACCAGTAACTCTCTGCAAGGTCTCTGGAGGAGCCAAATTCACTTCATCCAGCAATATCCACTCACCATTTCTAAGTGCAGTAACAAAAGCACCTTCTACAAATGAAAATATCATTCCAGCTGAGGCACTAATTTGAGCACGAGCTGTTTCAAGTTTCAGGGAAAATTTCTCCCAAGCCTTTAGTAATTCTTCACCTAAAGGCCTTTTCCGCTTTGTACTGGTCCCAGATCTTCCTATTTCCATTACCTTCCGGACACCCTTCTGAAAACCGCCAAATAATAGCTTCCAGTTCTTATCACTGAGAAATTTCTTCAGGCGAGCAAGGAATTCCTCATTATCCTAAATGTAAACATAGAATACTGCAAGTCATCATGCAAACTCAGATAAAAAATAAGGACAAGAAACAACTGGAAGAAAAATATGTACATGAACCGTACCTTCGAAGAAAATGTACTGGTGAAAAGATTCTCAAACTCCTTGTAAAGAGGAATGCATACCAATTGGGCATTCATAGGTTTAAATCCACCTAGTAGATCAGCAACATCACTTTGCTGACTCAAGTTCTGCAGGGAAAAAAGTAAATTGGTGATGCATCAGCATTTCTTGTAATAGAATGTACATATAGAAGAGCATGCACTTCACAAAGGTTCACACTGACATACCAAAACTGTAAGCTTCTGACCAAGCCTCATGGCAAGATTCTGTACAAGAGTAGTCTTGCCAGTACCGGTTTCACCAACCAAGAGAACAGGCTCATTGCATTTAACAGAGCAGGCTATTCTCTCAAGAATATGCAGTGAACTGTGAATCTCAACAAACGGTTTCATTTCATGAGCAGACTGTGGAAAACACAAAAATAACAATTTCAGCAAAACAAATAACAGGGCCCTCCATCACATTGAAGTCAGGAGTCACTCACTACTGTTCGAGTGCGTTGCAAGGTAATCCTTCCGATACGTATCTCAGGACGCAACTCCTGCACGTAACTCTGAATTTTGAGAAACTAGTGATGCTATGCCGTGAAATGGATAGACAACACATAGGGTATTGAAGAAACCTGAATAACAGGTCTATTAACAGGATAAAGGGTCTCGGCAGCTGAAATTGGTGCTGACCACATCTTTGCAATCTCCTTCATGACACTCAATCGATGACCAGGTGAACTCAAGAAAGCTGCAAAAATATCAACAGCCTGCAAAACACAGTCAAAATTACTAACAGATACTATAACTATTAAATATCAATCACATGACACAGAAAAACAGCAAAGTGAACCATATCAAACCTCTTGATAGATACTGTTACACTCATAAGCTGACAGAGCACCCCCACCAAAGCAAATACCTAAACCTGCAATTCTGTTGCACCATTTCAGGAGATCCCTGGCATTGCAAATGAGTGGATACAATTAGTAAAAGAACAAACTCAAACACGACATAGTAACTGCATTTCAATCAAATTACCTTAACGAGAACCGGCTGTGAGAGCTGGAAGAAGCAGAAGTTCCAAAGCGAAATCCAGCCAGCTGGTCAAACCTCCCAAAGGTTTCTGCCGGAAACACCAAAAAGTTAGGTATCTTGACCCAGCTAAGATGAAATATTGTCAACCACATAAATCGATCACAATTCACACCTACGAGTTTTCCAGCAAGAGGCTCTAAATCTGGATACCATGCTTTCACAATACTTAGCAAGTCTTGATTACTTGGGGGCCCAACCATTACTCTCCTCCATAGAGCACCAAGTATGTCCCTGCCTAGTTGGGGTTGGAGATGGGGAAGGAAAGAAAAATAAAAGGAAATAATATTTTAAGGGAACACCAATGTTTCTTAGTGAATATTTATCCAGAATATATGCATAAAATTCTACAACTAGAAATTAACTTGCAAGGATCAGAAATTTATAGTTTTTAAAAAAAAATCATTTAAGTCAAACAAGTAAAAGCTGGGATTCCTATATGCCAGAGCATAAAATTGCTAAACTGATTACTGCAACAGGGTGTGCCCAAAATAATGTAAGAAATAAAGAGAAAACAGATTCATCTGCACACAACATCCACTCACCCACACACAAAAGTATTTGAAGGAAGAACCTAATTTTCCATTATTACTGAACATATAGCCCAGCGTTCCAAATTACAACAAATATAAGCCTGTTGGTCTAATTACGAATGCCAACAGAACAAATCAAAAATCAACTAACATTGACAGAAAAAAGAGAAACTAAATTAACCAGACGCTATTTCATGCATACATAAACTCATGCATTACTAAATTTTATTGGCAACGAACTAAACTGGCCATCTATGGAATAAGTNCTATTACTGAACATATAGCCCAGCATTCCAAATTACAACAAATATAAGCCTGTTGGTCTAATTACGAATGCCAACTTAACAAATCAAAAATCAACTAACATTGACAGAAAAAAGAGAAACTAAATTAACCAGACGCTATTTCATGCATTACTAAATTTTATTGGCAACGAACTAAACTGGCCATCTATGGAATAAGTAGCATCCAGACTAACTCGCTATTTCAGGCATTACAAAATTTCTCTGTCAATGAACAATTGTCACCTTTATACATGTAAATTTATGTAGAAAATATATGTACACGATTACATCAACAACCAGAAAAACAAATACAACAGCCAAAAAGAAAGGAAGAAAAACACATCACTAACCTTCCTTAGCACGAGATATATCTAGCTTTGAACTTGATACAGTGGAAAACAATCGAAACCCATCAGCCACCCTTATTGCCTGCAACAATCAAGCATCATTCCTAATGCTTCTCGAGCAAAAATATGAAATAAGCACAAACAGCTAATGAAAGAAGTGAATCTGTGCATGTGTGTTTCCTTTTCTGTTTTCGATTTTTTCCTCCTTTTTTTTTTTTGTGTGTGTTTTTTTTTTGTCGGGAGTGGGGGTGGGGATTGGGGGGGACACAAAGTTCTCTTACAAAGCACTGAATCTTGTGACAGAAAAGTGAAAACATCCTTTCAAAATCACATAAGAGGANGGGGGGTACACAAAGTTCTCTTACAAAGCACTGAATCTTGTGACAGAAAAGTGAAAACATCCTTTCAAAATCACATAAGAGGAAAAATACATTCAATACGGAGAAATCAAGAAAGACATATTTTGCCCACAAACTGTCCACTTTATGTACTAATTCAGCGCAACGAAAATGAAGATGCCTAATCAAAATCACTCAAACGAAAAATGGGTTTAATGTCAGAAAATGTATCTGGCCTAATTCACAAGTCATAAAGGAGCAAGCTATAAAAATGAGAACATGAAATCAATTGAAAAAAAATAATCAAGTAAAAGTCCAAAAAGAAACACGACCTTGTTTAAGAAACGGTAAGCTAGCATTCACATAGCAACACACTAAAAAGATTAGTTGAAAAAGTTGGACATTTAATGTATGATCCTAGGACCATTTCTTTAAAAGCAAACACNGTTTAAGAAACGGTAAGCTAGCATTCACATAGCAACACACTAAAAAGATTAGCTGAAAAAGTTGGACATTTAATGTATGATCCTAGGACCATTTCTTTAAAAGCAAACACACACTACACCTGGAAAGGTGTCATTCGTACTATGCAGGACAGCAGTACTTAACAACAAAAATGTAGATTATGCATGATAGCAATACAGAAAATGAAAGCAAGTGGAAAAAGCAACTACCTCCCCATGACCAGTTAAGAATGAACTTGCCCCTTCCAGTAAAGGCAACAAGATGGATTGTACATCAGATGGTGCTTTGTCAATATCCTCAAAGACAACCCAAAACCCATTCAAAATGGCCTGTAAATCATAAATTTTACACACACTCCAACTGGTCAAAACGCAAACAACAATACTAATTTTCTGAACAAACAACAATATTTTCTGATCAAAAGATTAACCTGAGTGAGAGAACCAGGTTGCCATCTAAATTCACCAGGTTGCTCTGTGCATACATAACTCCCAATTAACATTCTGCCATCAATTTGCTCATCCATGTGAATAGAGAGAACTGTGTAAAAAGTCAAAGACAATAGCATTAGAAGATGACTTAAAACAAAGCCAGAATAGAAAGTACTGCCAAATATTTCAGCACAGAAAGGCCATCAGAGTATTTCAACAAGCAAAATTTCTAACAAAATTTATCAGAAGGCAAGATTAGCATCGTATACACAATTATATACATGGAATCATTTCTATATAATGCGTGTGTCAATGAATCTGACAATATACATCCAACATTGTCCTGCTCCAACTATTTCTTAAGGAAGACAGATAGTAAAATAACTCACTCTCCAGGATCTTTCACAATCACCACCTCAAAAAACGAGATCGCAAATCCAGTATAAAAAATTTATCTGTGACTGAGGCCAACTGCTCTCGCCTCTTTTCCTTTAGCATTTCTTGATAAAAGATGCCAACAATAACATTATAGGCCCTCCATAACTTAGATTTGCAAAATTGACAGCAAGAAAGAAAAAAAGGAAAAAACCAGAGTAATCTACAAGCAAACTAGAAACGTGAATGGTCTCGGTGAGTCTACTATCTCTAAGTTCAAGGTCCTAAAAATGCAAAGAAACTGAAGAGCAAAGAGAGAGGAGAGAGAGGGAGAAATCCCCAGACCCATATGCTATCTCGGATGACGTTACTATTGGAGCTCACTAGTTTCAAGTGCATAAAATTTTCAATGCATGCTCAACATACAACGATAAATTCAACAAGAAATCCGTAGATAACAGCCATAAAACCAACCATGTTGTTCAACATAGAATACTGGACCCCTTTTTGACAAAGATTAGTTCACCAGAAATATATAGCGGAACGAGCCCAAACAATGTGCAGTCAAAACAAAACAAACTCTAGCCAGTAAATAGCAGCACCCAAACCTTTTATATAGCAAACAAAAGAGTATTACTAATAGAAATATGAAGAATACAAAAGAGGACAATTAGGCCTCTACCGTTACAGGAAAAAAAAAACACAGAAAGTTAAAACCAGTTTCAAAACAGAAGTGGCACAATCTCCCAACTCTTTGCACACTGCCCAATGTTCTTTTATCAAGAACAGTAGATGAGTCCCTTCAGGCTCGAACATCCTAGTTCCTCTGCCAAACCAATCAACTTGCCTCATTGCACTTGCACATCAATTCCCAAGGGGAACCAAAAAAAAAAATCGGTGTCTTAAGGCTTCAAACTACTAGTACCTAGTCATTAAGACTATTATGAGAGAAGTAAGGAAGTCCTTGTCTTGACTTGGTCCGCATGCATTGTACCTACCCCCTTTTTAAAAAACTAATAATAGAAGAATGCAAGAAACCTTGCCTTTCAAGTCCAAAATCAACACCTCATCAACCTAGAAATGAATGTTGGACATTTAAGAAACAAAATGTTCATAAGGAAGTCAAAATGGAGAAGTGGATAGTGATGCAGCATAAAACTCTATAAAGGACAAATTTAGAAAGATTTAAGTTTTGTGAGGGTACAAATAGCAGCTGACATAAAACTAAGAAAAAACAGGCAAGGGCAATGAGAACATGTGAACATGTGCAACGAAGACAAGCCAGACATGATCCATACTGAGGATAATGCTAAGCAAAGAAAGAGAACACTTACTATGGAATGAGAAATCAAAAGAAAAACACGTAATGCATGCTTTAACTGCACATAAGGCCCTTGACATGGTGAAATTGTNCGCTAAGCAAAGAAAGAGAACACTTACTATGGAATGAGAAATCAAAAAAAAAACACGTAATGCATGCTTTAACTGCACATAAGGCCCTTGACATGGTGAAATTGTGACTAGCCCACTCTACATAACTAGGAGAAGGCTACATAGAGTTGAGTTGAGACGAGCTGACATAGTGGAGGATAGAATGAGAGCCCCAGATGGAAGGTTTTCTGGTGCAAGGTAACAACTTCCAAAGAATTTGTGTTCACAAAGAATCTAGAAGTTTTAGATGAGTTGTAACTACCTAACATGAAACTCAGCCTTCCCTTGTTTAGAGACAACAATTCAACTATGCTTTGACCTTTTACTAATATAAAACATTTACACGAACTACAAATCAAATATAAAAGATGTAGTGTACACTATTGTAAAATAGTTAGCAGTAAAGAATTTATTTGCAAGAAATTTGATAGAAATTGCCTTCCTACACTAACCTGTGGTATGGGTGGTTTCAAAAAAATGTTAAAAAATGCACCAATTTTCCATAAGCACAATAGACAATATACAACCCAAGACAAGCACTTGTAAACATTTTACCAAGGTACTGAATGCCAATAACTTGAACTTGTTCCCTATGTTTTCCACAAAATCACACAACTCAATATTTTGGAACAGTTGCATCAAGTAACCTGTAAGGATGGAAATATCCTAGGCTCCCAGCCCATCCTAGATAAGGCATCTCATTATTGTTTTGATCTTCCCATTCAGTATAACTCCAGAGAAAAACTGTTGGCAGCAGGTGGAAACATTCCTTTGGCCCTTTCAATAGAAAACTCAGGCATGGTAGAGCTCACAGAGGGTTCAAGAATAGGATAAGGTCCAATCCCTAAGATTCAAATAAGAAGTGTTCCAAACCTTTGTGCATGCACCCACATACAAGTGCTACACAAAAGTTTCGGCCAAGATGATTGGGAAAGATCAAACCAATTTAAACCGCACAAATCACAATGTAGTACGGTGAAGGCCCTAAGTCGACGGCTGTAAGATGAGGCTATCACTGTCACACCTTGGTCTCTAGTCTTTAAAAAAATCAAACTCTAATCAGAACCCACATAGAATCTAGCGTCCATGCTGTGCATTAATTCAGTTATTTTGGTAGCATTTCTAGGATAAGTAGCTAACCACCATGTCACACTCACCCTTGTGCAAGACAATGCCACACTGACAGGAAGTGCATCCATCCACAAAGAAGACTAAACATGAACAGCCAGCCTACTTATTATGATTTGCAACAAAATGGAAGCCAACTCCCTTTTACTAGGGCAAAAAAGGAAGAGTTATTTAAAGGCACAAAAAATTTGCAACAGCTAAGTGTATATATAGATACAAAGCGTGCAATTGCCTTCAAATGTTTCCTAACTCCCCTTTTCTGGGATATCAGCACTTACACATTTGCATTCAAGTGACAAAACACTAAAGACGGTATTAAATTTAGAGATAGAGAGGGAGAGAAACCATTAAAATGAGTAGTTTTCCCGTGTAATTTCCCGAACAACCCAGATCAATACAGGTTTAATACCTTAGAAGATGGGTGAGGAGAATCAAATTTAAAATTTTGGGGGAAAATACAAGCACGTACGAGAAAATTAAACTCAAACAAAGGGGGAACTCTACCTTGGCTCCGATAGTCCTNCAGGTTTAATACCTTAGAAGATGGGTGAGGAGAGTCAAATTTAAAATTTTGGGGGAAAATACAAGCATGTACGAGAAAATTAAACTCAAACAAAGGGGGAACTCTACCTTGGCTCCGATAGTCCTGAGCCAACTTTCTAATAAGTGCAGTTTTCCCGTCACCAGGGGGACCATACAGAAGAACTGGCCACCTCTGACTTACTGCCAACAGGACCATCTCAAAACTTTTCTTCACAGCAGATGTCAAGACAAAAGGGTTTCCAGGTAAGGTTATATCCCTGAACATGTCAAAAGGCCAGAATATTGTGTTAACATAACACGAAGCCAGACACAAGACAATGAAATATAATGTAGAAACCAAAAATAAGGTAGGTCACTGGGTAGCCGACCCTTTCACCACCCTGCCTCTAAACAGGTACTCCATCACAAACTCACTTCTTTCCATCCTTGGTAGAAGACCACCAATATCGATGTTCAAGTTACAGAATTATCCATATATATAGGTGAATTTTAATGTTGAGATTCCCTACCATGAAGTCTGCCTGCTGCTCCACTTTAATGAAATCTCATGAAACTTTGAAGAAGAAACAGGTCGAGAACTAAGGCCAAAAGACTGCAGAGAATGACCTTGACTCAACTTGATGTTTTCACCGACAGAAAGTAAGTTTTTTTCTTCAAATGGTTCAAGATACCAGCCAGCCTTCTCCAAGGATACATCCTGACAAAATTCATACCAGCTGCAAATGGTGAAAGCAAAAAAGACAGTTAGGTGGAAGAGCAAGGACAGAAAGAAGTAGGCTGCAAAGCATTCTATTGAGACAAGGACATTTTTTAGTATTCCTTTGAGGCACTATTTCTCTTAAGAATAGGAATATCTTCATAAGCTGTGGGAGATTGGCTTCTCTAAGGAATGTCAAGACATCTCAGTCAAATAAATGGATATAAACAAAATGGAAATATGGAATTCACCCATAGAACTTTTTTCCCACTCATGCTGTTGGCTTGAATGCAATAAATAGTATTTTTTGTGAAACGAAAGTGCAGGGTAGATCCTATGTAATGATTTCATGCTGTCTAAAAGTGCATCTAGTTCCTAGTTTGTAAGTTATATCTCCTGGTGGTCCATCTGTATAGATTAAAGCGATACAATTTGGATTGGTCATCTGCTGCCTCTTGTTTTCAAACTCTTAACCAGTCGTGGGTAGTAAAATTTCACTCACTAAAGGAAACCATTTAGACATATGTAACTGTATTTGAAAACAAGAATCAAAGCCAACCGCAATAAACATTTAAAAGATTCTTCAGCAGAAAGACCGAAACTCGCTGTTGCTCTGTCATTTAACTTCAAAATTACTGATAGGATCTGTATCCCACACCATCTTATGTCCAAGGCATCCTTCAAGAATTCAGCATTATTGCATGGGTCGAGATCTGCATATAGCTGTAAAAGGTCCAGGAAACCGGACCAATCCCACAGCGTCCTGAACACTTCAGGCTCTGCTAAAAGGAGGCGATACGATGCTTGTACAGCTTTTAGTACAGGTGTTCGAACCTGATAAAACAGAGAGAAAATTAAGCGCGGGCTAAAATGTAGAACATGATCCTGAATTTGCAACAATAAGAGAAACACAGTACAAAGAACAATAGAAAGAGTTGTGGACTTGCGATTGCAAGTAAAACATCATGGAGAACAGGAATACTATGGCAAACAGTTCACGACACCAATATCAAAAACTTAGACTTTTCTCACTCGAATTTCAAATTGGAGAGAGAAGACAGTATCCTATCAATATCAAAAGATAACTACCACATGAAAGTACATTATCCTGCATTCTCAAAGCCTATAAGCATCATACCTACTTAGTAGTCCAATCGCAGAACACCTTGTACAGTCACCATAACTTTTACACTTGGTTAACCAATTGTAAAATCTTCAACTATTTTTCTAGTATGGCAAAATCATGCTGCAGGATTTCAGTGTTATGAGGAGGTATAGGGCAGCACTGGCTCTAACATAAACATGAAATAACAAATTAAACCAAAATTATCCCCAATACAAATACAACAGCAAGCTAATTAGGTCAAGTACGTCTCATCAAAATTCATCAGCATAGCCCAGAAATAATTCAAAGACCCACACCAGTAGTCCTAAAGGCTATCACAATCATAATGGGAAGACTAAAAAAGTTATAAAGCAATGATAGTATAAATAGCTCATGTTAATAAAGTTAAACCAAAGTTAGTAGAAGAATAAATGCAAAATCGTACAAACACAATTCAACGGGGGTAAAATCCAAATTTTAAAACTAATGAAAGTACCGTAATTAATGGCTCAGACACTGATTCTCGAAGCGTAATCCTTTTAAAAGGAGGAGGAGCAAATTTGAAATAACTTAACACAGACCTGCACAAAATAATGAAGACATTTTACTTGAGCTACACATAGGAACAAGGAATAAAAGTTGACCACAAATTTCTTTGTAGACAAGCATGCACTCAAATACAGAAGCAGGCACAACACAGATTGAAATAGCAACTGAAACTAAAACCAGCACATTATAACACACTAATTAAACAATGCTATAGAAAAAAAAATAAAACCCCCTCCTATAGGTTCATCACTTTTCAGGCGATGAAAAAGCTTCACTGCACAGATAAACACAAGATAGATGCCACCATAATGACTAGCAAGAGAAAGCAGCACCAAAGCTCCAACATACTGTTAGTTCAAACACGCATCCAGTCATCAGCTATATCCAGAACCAGGTTGCGCAGCATATGCTAATTTAAGCACATTCACCAGGCTAAACATGATGGAGGAAGGTAATATGAACCATCAAGGTCAATCAGTAACTCTTACAAGGACCTGATATTACTGAAAGATGATGATGGTTTTGGATGATCAACCAATCATTAAGCATTAATTAAGCAATATCATAACAACTCAGGTAGCTTGGTATATGAGTCCGGGCTTCATTTAAGAATCCAAATCACATCCACACAAACACATGTTATAACGTACACACAACAAATGCTGCAATTAGTAAAATGAATAATTATGGGATTGCATTGCATAGTTCCCTGCTCAATAAACCAAAAGGTTAAGAAGAAAAAAAAAAAAAGAGAAATCAGCTTCTTCCCCAGGGGCTACTTTTTCATCCTTCCTACCTTGCCTTCATCCAAACCTTGACTCCTTGAACCAAACAAAGCATGAGCATAGAACGTGAAATCAAAAGATGTGACCGTGAAGAGAAACTCGAGGTTCAATAGTTAACATTTGATGAATTTCAACAGTCCCATTTTAAGTGGGATTAGTCCTACACAAAATTACCAACGTGTAACAGACCAATACAAATTTCAAGGACAACAGAATGCACTTTCACTTAATCAGAAGTGATTGAGTGTGATGTTACATTTGGAAGCATCAAAGGGTCGCATTAGTTCAAGATATAATTGAAGTTTCCTCGTATTCCAAATCCAATAACAAAATTCCATGCTTTATGGGGGAGAGAGGGGTATTGAAAAGAGAACCATAAGACTAACAAGTTAGCTTACCCCAATAAAGAAGGCACCAAATCAAGGGCTCGACAAAAGGCCAGACAGGCAAGCTCGTGAAGATTCAAGCCCCTTCCATTTCTAACATAAACATCAATAACATGTACAACTTCCACATCATCCAACCTTTCAGTTACTCTAAGAAATTCATCTTCGTCAAATTCCATCATGGAATCATCAGAATCAGAACTCAAGCTGGGCACTAAACGAAGCAAACTGACAGCCCTGCCTACAATATTCTGTGCTATTGGCCGAAAACATCCAATTAAAGGGATTGTATATTTTGGGTGCAGAAACAGCTCTGCTACAGCATTCACCACCTCTTCTTCTATTACCTCCTGTCCCTGTACAAACCCAAATCCAAGACCAGTTCAATATATATATATATAGCATTAAAATTCTTATTGTAACAACCAGTACCTTCTTTAATAGGTACTCGAATTGGCAAATAGAAGCAAGCTCGGGACAGCGAGAAAGAAACCTCTCTAGCTCAGATTCAAGACAAAAACTACCGTCAATTGCCATTCGAACCTCAACACAGTTACTATAATGTGTTTNTAGCATTAAAATTCTTATTGTAACAACCAGTACCTTCTTTAATAGGTACTCGAATTGGCAAATAGAGGCAAGCTCGGGACAGCGAGAAAGAAACCTCTCTAGCTCAGATTCAAGACAAAAACTACCGTCAATTGCCATTCGAACCTCAACACAGTTACTATAATGTGTTTTCACTTAGAGGTCTTCCTCGCCAANTGAACACGCAGTTTCAACCAACGTGTACAATCACTCAAAGAAGCATATTGTTGAACAAAATATGAGTAAGAATTAAACTCACAACAGGCACACAAGATTGCAGGCCAATCAGCCAAATTTTTTTACTTTTTGACAAGTAAANTACCGTCAATTGCCATTCGAACCTCAACACAGTTACTATAATGTGTTTTCACTTAGAGGTCTTCCTCGCCAAGGAGCTGTCTGGTTCAATTGGCTTCAATAACTAGGTTCTGTGGATGTTATACAACAACAATCAGAAATCAAAGCACAAACAAATAGCAGTGGAGCAAAAAATTATACCGCAATAAAACAACCCACAGGAGTTAAATTAATCAAGAACTGGAATTCATACGCAGAAATAATTATCACCAATCTTTTTGGATCACTATGATCGTCATTATGCCCATTACTTCATTTTATATCATTGTCTTCGCTGTAAACCTAATGATGATTCGTCGTACATACAGCATATATTTAGTTCGCACATCTATATAAACAGCACACTGTTTGACTGTGTATTATTTGAAGGGTGCGTGTAGGTGACGAAGAGAGGAGAGTTACCTGAACGTCGGCGAACTAGAGGACGCAGAGAAGAGAAGAGTGAAGCGGCTGGAGGAGGAGAGTGAAGATGACTTTTTACCGTTAGAATTTAGGTCTAGGTTTGGAGTCTCCTTTTTAAACTTGTATACGATCTCTATCTGTTTCTGTGTCTTGAGGCTGGTTGTGTCTTTCCGTGCTAGGGTTCAGGGTTTTACACAACTGTTAATTTCTGAACATATATATATGTTTTTTAAGCGGCGGCCATGGGCAACTATGGCGGTAGAGCGCAATTAGGCGGATCGGGTCGAAAAATATGGTTAACCTAGCACACTGGGTCTAACCCGATTCGTAACTCGCTGGAATCGCCTACGGGTTGCCTTTTGACAATGTGCCGGTTAGGAGTTAGCCCTCGGTGGCCCAATAATTATTTTTTTTATAGGAAACATAATTTCTTGTATTAAAAATCACATAAATAGCAAGAATGTTGATAAAGAATTCAACTACAAAAACAGTTTAAAAATGACATAATTATAAACAAATGAAATACATAAAATGTCTACAAATCACGTTAAACTTTCCGTCATTATAGTTGTCATAGAGATAAANTGCAGTGGAGCAAAAAATTACACCGCAATAAAACAACCCACAGGAGTTAAATTAATCAAGAACTGGAATTCATACGCAGAAATAATTATCACCAATCTTTTTNAGCAGTGGAGCAAAAAATTATACCGCAATAAAACAACCCACAGGGGTTAAATTAATCAAGAACTGGAATTCATACGCAGAAATAATTATCACCAATCTTTTTGGATCACTATGATCGTCATTATGCCCATTACTTCATTTTATATCATTGTCTTCGCTGTAAACCTAATGATGATTCGTCGTACATACAGCATATATTTAGTTCGCACATCTATATAAACAGCACACTGTTTGACTGTGTATTATTTGAAGGGTGCGTGTAGGTGACGAAGAGAGGAGAGTTACCTGAACGTCGGCGAACTAGAGGACGCAGAGAAGAGAAGAGTGAAGCGGCTGGAGGAGGAGAGTGAAGATGACTTTTTACCGTTAGAATTTAGGTCTAGGTTTGGAGTCTCCTTTTTAAACTTGTATACGATCTCTATCTGTTTCTGTGTCTTGAGGCTGGTTGTGTCTTTCCCTGCTAGGGTTCAGGGTTTTACACAACTGTTAGTTTCTGAACATATATATATGTTTTTTAAGCGGCGGCCATGGGCAACTATGGCGGTAGAGCGCAATTAGGCGGATCGGGTCGAAAAATATGGTTAACCTAGCACACTGGGTCTAACCCGATTCGTAACTCGCTGGAATCGCCTACGGGTTGCCTTTTGACAATGTGCCGGTTAGGAGTTAGCCCTCGGTGGCCCAATAATTATTTTTTTTATAGGAAACATAATTTCTTGTATTAAAAATCACATAAATAGCAAGAATGTTGATAAAGAATTCAACTACAAAAACAGTTTAAAAATGACATAATTATAAACAAATGAAATACATAAAATGTCTACAAATCACGTTAAACTTTCCGTCATTATAGTTGTCATAGAGATAAAATTTTCGCTCAAATTTTACCTATTGATGATACTAAGAACGAACACGCAGTTTCAACCAACGTGTACAATCACTCAAAGAAGCATATTGTTGAACAAAATATGAGTAAGAATTAAACTCACAGCAGGCACACAAGATTGCAGGCCAATCAGCCAAATTTTTTTACTTTTTGACAAGTAAAAAGAATTTTGGCTTGAGTCTACTTACAAAATTTGTTCAAACTCTCTTGATTCACTAAAGATCCCAACATACGTATAAATAGCATACAATGGTGATTACAAAAGCTCAACTTCCTAGACAATGTTGGCACTACCCAACTCTGGACAACTCAGCAATTTAGTTGATATCCCCAACTGTTAGGATTGCAGACACTAATTAGATTAGCCCCCAAGGCTTGCGGGTGGATTTGGCACTCCCCCACAATCTACTGAACATGGCTGAGTTCTTCTGTCACTCCCCATAATGTGTTGATTTTGACCGAGGCAATTGTAATTGTCGGTTGACTCGATTATCAATTGTTCGAAACCACTATGCATAATGTGTACATGCCAGCAATAACTCAGAATTGCCACCATCTACAATGCACATGCCTTTTGTGTCGGGCCACAACAGCTGATTTGCCTTACGTGCATGACAACTTATGCCCAAATTCATGACTTTGGTCTTCTAACCTTGCAATGCACCACAAATTCGAGTCCACACGCCTAACATTGTTTGCTTGTACCATGTATGTGCTAAATTCCTTAACTATGCACGAGTAGGGGTGTCCATGAGCTCGCCCTGTGAATTTTTTTTGGGCTAAGCCTGGCTAGGGAAGGCACAAACCTTTTATCTACAACTTTGTGTTAAAAATAATGAATATATTTGTAAATTACATTTTTTAGTTAAAAATTAAAGTTAAAATAGACAAAAAATAAATAATGAATAGTTTTATTTATAAATAAGAAATGAACTTTATAAAAATAAAATGAGCACATCCAAACTAAATTGACACCTACCCATCTATCTATTTTTTTAAAATTTCAAATTTAATGTGTTTTAACTTTTTTTCAAATGAAGGTGGGCGGGCTATTCAGGCTTGGCAGTTTCTTGGGTAGGTTTTAATGGAATTTTTGCACTGGATTATTTGGACCAGATAATGGTTTTGGGGGTATGTCTAAGTCATAGTTTTAAATCCCGGCTCGGACATCAATTCGGCAGAGGGACCAGGTCAATGAGTCACTGGTTCAACCGTTGGGTTACTGGTAAAACCGGTCATATAATAAAAAAATAAATAATTATTACACATAATAATAAATAGACTAAAAAATCACAATAATTATGATAATAGTACTAAACATGTAAAGTTAAGTAGAGAAAAATCATCAAACATGTATCCAATGCATTTAATTTATAAATCTAAAGGTAAGTAGGAAAAAAATAAATATATTTAACTTCAAGACTCCAAGTCCAAATATTCAACTATGCATCAATCATTCAATTCAAGTATAATCCCGGTAACTTACACTCTTCAAAGTATAAATTAAGATCCATAAGGCAATAAATTCAACATCATCTCATTTCACAACATAAAAAACAACCATTTATCTAAAATCAAATTCAAGCCTAGAAATTTCTAGTATCAATAACATCCTAATCATAATGTAACCTAAAAAAAAAATATAACCCACAAACTGAGAGACTAAGACCAATCTGAGATCACCCCTCCAAATTCTAACCCACAAAAAAAAAAAAAAAAAATGAAACCCAACAATTCTGAAAATATTGCATTATCAATTATCAACTATCAAAATTCAATATATACAATGCAACCCACAAAAAAAAATAAAAAATGCAACCCAATGTAAAAAAATATAGCTTCATAAATTATCAAAATTCAATCTATTCAAACTACAAATAAATTCTTAGATATATAGATATATATTGATAGAGAGAAAAAAAAGAGTAGATAGATTGAGACTCATAGAGACAGGTCGAGAGAGAGAGAATAATATACCTGTTATGATGCTTGGTGGTCATTGTTGATCGGTTGCCTCGATGTCAATGGAGCTATGAAGCAGTGAAGGTGAAGCGGCTTCATAGCTTCACCTTCGATTCGAGCTAGGGATCAAAATTTCATTCCCCTTCGATTAGAGTTTTCGTGCTTGCAGTGCACAGTGTACACTATTACTACTACAGAGACCAAAAGCAAAAAGCGATAGAGAGACTGATGAGACTCTGTGAGAGAGAGAGAGAGAGATAGAGGGGCTGGTTGGGGGAATGGGGAAGGAACGATTAGGGTAGCAAGACAAAAATGCCAAAAAGGGCCCAAAGTTCAATTTTTATATTAAATAAAAAAACCCGATCGATTTGAGTAACTCGTTTGATTTAACGATTTTTACTAGTTTTTTTTCGGGTCTCCGGGTCTACTCTAACTTTGGTGCATAAAATAATAAATAGGTAAACCAGCTCAGTTTAGACACTAGTTCACCGGGTCAAATTCGCCGAGCCGAGTTGGGTTTAAAACACTGGTCTAAACCTTTTTTTGAAGGATATTGGGCTCGATCAAGCTATCTATTAGGCATATCGAATTTCAGACCTATCTTTTTGGGTCAGGTAATAGGACCCGTGAGCAATTCGGCCCATGGACACCCCTATGCACGAGGCTTCCACCAATAACGAGTCCCATCAAACATCACCCCCACATCTTTGGTCTTGGGCTTTAGAATACTTTGCCCACACCCATGGTAAATATTTGTTGGGGTCGCGCCTTACTTTTGTAACACCCCAAAATTCACATTCGACGGCATTACAATCTAAAAATCATTCACAACACGAGANTGATAGAGAGACTGATGAGACTCTGTGAGAGAGAGAGAGAGATAGAGGGGCTGGTTGGGGGAATGGGGAAGGAACGATTAGGGTAGCAAGACAAAAATGCCAAAAAGGGCCCAAAGTTCAATTTTTATATTAAATAAAAAAATCCGATCGATTTGAGTAACTCGTTTGATTTAACGATTTTTACTAGTTTTTTTTCGGGTCTCCGGGTCTACTCTGACTTTGGTGCATAAAATAATAAATAGGTAAACCAGCTCAGTTTAGACACTAGTTCACCGGGTCAAATTCGCCGAGCCGAGTTGGGTTTAAAACACTGGTCTAAACCTTTTTTTGAAGGATATTGGGCTCGATCAAGCTATCTATTAGGCATATCGAATTTCAGACCTATCTTTTTGGGTCAGGTAATAGGACCCGTGAGCAATTCGGCCCATTGACACCCCTATGCACGAGGCTTCCACCAATAACGAGTCCCATCAAACATCACCCCCACATCTTTGGTCTTGGGCTTTAGAATACTTTGCCCACACCCATGGTAAATATTTGTTGGGGTCGTGCCTTACTTTTGTAACACCCCAAAATTCACATTCGACGGCATTACAATCTAAAAATCATTCACAACACGAGAACAACTAATAATATCCATAATTAAGATAATTTTATTCATCATTCATAAT